GGAGCAGTGGCTCACATCTGTAATCCCAGTACTTTGGGAGGCCAAGATGGGTGGATCACCTGAGGTCAGGAGTTTGAGACCAGCCTGGCCAACATGGTGAAACCTCGTCTCTACTAAAAAAAAAAAAAATACAAAAATTAGCTGGGTATGGTGGCTGGAGCCTGTAATCCCAGCTACTCTGGAGGCTGAAGCAGAAGAATCACTTAAACCCGGGAGGCAGAGGTTATAGTGAGCCCGGATTGTGCCATTGCATTCCAGCCTGGGCAACAAGAGTGAAATTCCACCTCAAAAAAAACAAACAAAACAAAACAAAAAACTCTACTACTGGTATTATTGACGAGTATTCCAGTGTTCCAGTTTATCAATGTATCACTGATTATCCTAAATTTTACCCATTTGGGGGCTGGGTGCAGTGGGTCACGCCTGTAATCCCAGCACTTTGGGAGGCCAAGGCAGGTGGATCACTTGAGGTCAGGAGTTGAAGACCAGCCTGACCAACATGGTGAAACCCCACCTCTACTAAAAATACAAAATTAGCCAGGCATGGTGGCACACGCCTATAATCCCAGCTACTGGGAGGCTAAGGCAGGAGAATTGCTTGAACCTGGGAGGTGAAGGTTGCAGTGAGCCGAGATCGCAACATTGCACTCCAGCCTGGGCAACAAGAGCGAAACTCTGTCTCAAAAAAGGAAAAAAAGATATTTGGGGTGGGGCGCAGTGGCTCATGCCTCTAATTTCAGCACTTTGGGAGACTGAGGCGAGTGGATCACCTAAGGATGGGAGTTCGAGACCAGCCTGACCAACATGGAGAAACCCCGTCTCTACTAAAAATACAGAATTAGCTGCGAGTGGTGGCAGATGCCTGTAATCCCAGCTACTTAGGAGGCTGAGGCAGGAGAGTCGCTTGAACCCAGGAGGCAGAGGTTGCAGTGAGCTGAGATCACACCACTGCACCCCAGCCTGGGCAACAAGAGCAAAACTCCATCTCAAAAAAAAAAAAAAAAAAGATATTTGGGTTATTTACAATTATTGGTGATTAAGAATAAAGCTACTATAATTATTTGCAATAAAAATTACCTGCAATGGATAATAGTTAAAGACCCCAAGCATAAGAAACCCTGATGTTGAAATACAACTTAAGAAGGTGCTTACAGGCCGGGTGCCATGGCTCACGCCTGTAAACCCAGCACTTTGGGAGGCCAAGGCAGGTGGATCACGAGGTCAAGAGATTGAGACCATTCTGGCCAACATGGTGAAACCCACATCTCTACTAAAAAAATTAAAAAATTAGCTGGTCATGGTGGCATGCACCTGTAGTCCCAGCTACTCGGGAGGCTGAGGCAGGAGAATTGCTTGAACCCGGGAGGTGGAGGTTGCAGTGAGCCGAGATCATGCCACTGCACTCTAGCCTGGCGCCTGGCGACAAAACAAGACTCTGTCTCAAAAAAAAAAAAAAAAAAAAGACGGTGCTTAGGTGCTTACAAATGAGAATCCTGTAAATTTTCCTTAAAGTTCTCTTCAACATACCTGTGAGTTGCATTCATCTAATAAAAAATCTTATCTAGCAGGGAAAGAAATCTTTGGGGGCTGTAGAAAACAATAGTACCAACAGAAAATATTGTCAGGGGCTGGAGGGAGGGGAGAATGGGAAGTGCCTGGTAACAGATATGGGGTTTCTTTCTCAGATGATGAAAATGTTCTGGAATAGGGTAGTGGTGATAGTTGTGCAACTATGTTAATATACTAAAAACCACTGAATTATATATATCAAAAGGGTGAATTTGGCCAGGCTAGTGGCTCACACCTGCAATCCCAGCTACTCTAGAGGTTGAGGCAGAAGGATCACTTGAGTCCAGATGTTCCAGACCAGCCTGGGCAACATAGTAAGACCTTCATCTCTAAAGTAAAGAAAAGAAAATTATCCATATGTGGTTGTACCTGTCTGTAATCCAAGATACTGGAGAGGCTGAGGCAGGAGGATTGCATAAGTCTAGAGTGACAGAGTGCTAGTTCTACTCAATTGAGTATTATATGTTTCAAATATTATGGATTTTTGTTTTGATATGGAGTCTTGCTCTGTCGCCCAGGCTGGAGTGCAGTGGCATGATCTCAGCTCACTCCAACCTCCGTTTCCTGGATTCAAGCAATTCTCCTGCCTCAGCCTCCCGAGCAGCTGGGGTTACAGGTGCACCATCATTCCCTGCTAATTTTTGTATTTTTGGTAGAGATGGGGTTTTGCCACATTGGCCAGGCTGGTCTCCAACTCCTGATCTCAGGTGATCTGCTTGCCTCAGCCTCCTAAACTGCTGGGATTAAGGCATAAGCCACTGTGCCTGGTCAATTTATGGTACATTTATATAATGGATTACCATGCAGTTATTAGGTATCATGATTTGGAAGAATATTAACTTGTGAAAATACTTGTAGCAAATTATCAAATGACAAATGTGGGCAGCGTGGCAGTATGAAGCTATGTACATGGATGGATGGAAAAAAACACAGAAACCAGTGATTTCCTTTGGGTGGGAGTTAGTGTTCTACATATTCTCCTCTTTTTTAAATTAACTAATTATTTAAAAAAATTTTTGAGACAGAATTTTGCTCTTGTTGCCCAGGCTGGAGTACAGTGGCATGATCTTGGCTCTTGGGTTTGAGCAATTCTCCTGCCTCAGCTTCTTGTGTAGCTGGGACTACAGGTGCACACCATCGCACCTGGCTAATTTTTGTATTTTTGGTAGAGACGGGGTTTCGCCACATTGGTCAGGCTGGTCTAGAATTCCTGACCTCAAGTAATCCACCTGCCTCAGTCTCCCAAAGTGCTGAGATTACAGGCATGAGCCACTGTGCCCACCATATTTTTCTTTATAGTTAATGTATTCTTCAAGTTTTTGCTATTAACATTACTTCTTTTTTTGAGGTGGGGGGGAGGTAGAGTTTCTGTCATCTGGGCTGGAGAACAGTGGTGCAATCATAGCTCACTGCAACCTCAAACTCCTCCCATCTCAGCCTCCCGAGTAGCTGGGAGTACAGGCATGCACCACCATGCCTGGATAATTATAAAAAAATTTTTTTACAATAGTAGTGATAGGGAGGTCTTGCTATGTTGCCCAGGATAGTCTTCAACACCTGGGCTCAAATGATCATCCTGCCTCAGCCTCCCAAAGCACTGGGATTATAGGCCCACAAATTGATTTTTTTAAAGGGTAAAATGGGCTGGGCATGATGATTTATGCCTGTAATTCCAGTACTTTGGGAGGCCAAGGCAGGAGGATTATTTGAGCCCAGGAGTTTGAGACCTGGGCATCATAGGGAAACTCTGTCCCTTAAAAAATTACAAAAAAAATTAGCTGGGTATGGTGGCACATAACTGTGTTCCCAGCTACTTGAGAGGCTGAGGTGGGAGGATCACTGGAGCCCAGGAGTTGAAGAATGCATCAAGCCTTGATTGGGCCACGGGCACTCCAGCCTGGATGACAGAGTGAGACCCTTTCTTAAAATAAGTAAAAAAATTAAAATTTAAAAATAGATAACTTCTAGATAACACCCAAGGAATGCAAAATGGTTTCAAAAAATTCCTGAGAGTTGGTAAGATAGCGTATTACTATGAAAGGGTAAAAACCAAAAACCATGGAAAATGTTCACGTAATGTTTAAGAACACGGGGCTTTGGAGTCAAATCTGGTTTATAGTCTAGACTCTTTCCTTGGAAGAGTGATAGAATTTCTCTGAGCTTCCGTTTTTCTATTTATAAAATTGGGATGATACGAATATCATAGTGCTGTTTTTAGGATTAAACCAGATTATACATGTAAAAGGGCAGAAACTGTTGCAGGATAAGTCCTCAATAAATAGTAAATGTTAACAATTGTTGTTAAATAAAGGTTATAGAAAAATGCTCTCACCCCACCTCCCCGCGGTACCCGGGGTAAGAAAGGGTAGACAGGCCGGACGCGGTGGCTCAAGCCTGTAATCCCAGCACTTTGGGAGGCCGAAGCGGGCGGATCACGAGGTCAGGAAATCGAGACCATCCTGGCTAACATGGTGAAACCCTGTCTCTACTAAAAATACAAAAAATCAGCCCGGCGTGGTGGCACGCGTCTGTAGTCCCAGCTATTCGGGAGGCTGAGGCAGAAGAATCGCTTGAATCCAGGAGGCAGAGGTTGCAGTGAACTGAGATCGTGCCACTGCACTCCAAGCAGGGAGTCAGAGTAAGACTCCGTCTCAAAAAAAAAAAAAAAAAAAAAAGGTAGAAGAAAAATGATTCTCCACATGGGGCGATACGACTTCCTATTTTAAAGAAAAATCCAGAGGTTACCGTGCATCTTTCCTAGTATATACATCACTTTAGTATAGAGTCAGCCCTGAAACTACACCCTATTTTTCGTCCAATCACACCACCCCTAAAGTGAAAGTCACTCTCCCTTCTCCACTCTTTCTGGCCCCTATTCCCACCCTTAGCTTCCCAGTTCACTTTTCCCAGTCACTCATTTCCCTCTTCCCCGCCCCGCCCAGAGGTCGTGGCTTCCCCCTCGCCCCGCCTATCTCTTGTTCTAACTTTGCCGCCTTAGTAGCTCTTGGCCAATCGGGAGTGTAATTATTTCTTTTTCCCCGCCTCTTCGTGACGTTTTCATAAGTACGACCTATGATTAGTTTTGCTGGAGCAAGAGGCGACCAATCACAGGCAGATATTTTTGGAGAAGATGGGCAACCAGTATTATCGCTGGTGATTGGCTGGAGTGGCCCGAGTCGAGAAAATGGCTGCGAGTACCTCCATAGTCCCGGTGGCTGTGACGGCGGCAGTGGCGCCTGTCCTGTCCACGAACAGCGATTTCTCAGATTTGCGGGAAATTAAAAAGCAACTGCTGCTTATTGCGGGCCTTACCCGGGAGCGGGGCCTACTGCACAGTAGCAAATGGTGAGATGTTGGAGTGGGAAGAGACCGGGCTTGGATCCTTGGCCTTGGGGGCTTGTCGAGCTGATCAGTTTGTGTCGGTGTTCCAGGTCAGCGGAGTTGGCCTTCTCTCTTCCCGCATTACCTCTGGCCGAGCTGCAGCCGCCTCCGCCTGTTACAGAGGTAAGGACATCTTTACTGTGAGCGCTCCCCGTCAACCCAGGGGTGTGCCTCAAGAACCACTGAGTGCCCTGTCACTGGTGGGGGGCAAACTGCTTAGCAGGAGTGTTTGTAGAGGGAATTCAAGCATTTAAAAGAGCTGGGTGTTTTAAGTGATTTTATCCATGTAGTTTTCTTGAGTTTTGAAAGCCCTGGTGGTGCTCTTATTTAAAGCTGGAGAGAATTAGTAAACAATTATTGCTTATGATTTCAGCCTTTCAGGGCTTATAGCCAAACCTAGACATTAGTGCCTCATAATAGTAAATATTATTATAAGGAATTATCATAAGAGTATCTCATAACACTCAAGTGGATGAGAAGAATCAAACGTTCTGGCCGAGTGCGGTGGCTCACGCCCGTAATCCAGCACTTTGGGAGGCTGAGGTGGGCGGATCACGAGGTTAGGAGTTCAAGACCAGCCTGGCCAACACGGTGAAACCCCGTCTCTACTAAAAATACAAAAATTAGCCGGGTGTGGTAGTGCACGCCTGTAATCTCAGCTTCTCAGGAGGCTGAGGCAGGAGAATCGCTTTAACCCGGGAGACAAAAGTTGCAGTGAGCTGAGATCGCCCATTGTACTCCAGCCTGAGCAGCAGAGCGACTCTGTCTCCAAAAAAAAAGTTTTTACAAAACCTACATTGTTGTCTGATCAGCATAGCAAATAATGATTGAGTTTAGGTGCTGAGTTGAGACGACCTTGGGTTCAAATGACCTTTGGCAACTTAAACATCTGAGCCAATTTCCTCATCTGTGCAGTGATGATAGTAATAGTATCTACTCCATGGGGACATTGAGATAATAATATAGACTGCTTAGAAGTGTATGGTGCTTGCATCTATATTTCAGTCAAGTTCTTTATTAGTAGCACCAAGGTGGGCAAGTGATTTCTAAGTGACAACCTCCTCATCTACAGGTAATGTTAATAATTGCTGGGTTTTCAAGAAGTTTAAATAAAGCAATAGTAAAGCATATGGTACACTCTTAAGTAAATTTTTTTAGTCATTGCAGTTTATATCTTACTAGCTTTTACTCCTGTGCCCACTTTCATAGTGCCTAGGACCATCATTGGTCCTAACTAGGATAAATACTTGTTTTTGTTGTTTAAATTTTAGATTCAGGGGCTACATGCGCAGTGTGCAGGTTTGTTACAGGAATATTTTGTGTGAGTCTGAAGTTTGGGGCTTTAGTTAAACTCCTCATCCAAATAGTGAACATAATACATGATAGATAGTTTACTTTCTTTTCTTTTTTTTTTAATACGAAGTCTTGCTCTTGTTGCCGAGGCTGGATTGGAGTGCAATGGTGCGATCTTGGCTCACTGCAACCTCCGCCTCTTGGATTCAAGAGATTCTCTTGCCTCAGCCTCCTGAGTAGCTTGGATTACAGGCAGCCACCACCATGACCAGCTAATTTTTTGTATTTTTAGTAGACATGGGGTTTCACCATGTTGACCAGGCTGTTCTCAAACTCCTGACTTCAGGTGATCCACCTGCTTCAGCCTCCCAAAGCGCTGGGATTACAAACATGAGCCACTGTGCCTGGCCAGATAGTTTTCAACATTTCCTTTCCTCCTTCCCCCTTTTGGAGTCCCCAGTGTCTGTTGTTCCCATATCTATGTCCATGTGTACCCAGTGATTAGCTTCCACTTACAAGTGAGAACATGCTACATTTGGGTTTCTATTTCTGTGTTAATTCACTTAGGATAATGGCCTCTAACTTTATCCGTGTTACTGCAAAGGGTGTGATTTTGTTCTCTCTTTTTTATGGCTGTGTAGTATTCCCTGGTGTATAAGTACCACATTTTCTTTAGTGCATCATTGATGGGCACCTAGATTGGTTCCATGTCTTTGCTATTGTGAATACTGGTAAACAAGCGAGTGCAGGTGTCTTTTTGGTAGAATAATTTATTTTCCTTTGGGTATATACTGAGTAATGGGATTGTTGAGTCAAATGGTAAGTCTATTTTTAGTTCTTTGAGACATCTGTGAACTGCTTTGTTCACAGAAAGAGGCTGAACTAACTTATAGTTCCACCAACGGTGTATAAGTGTTCCCTAAATAGGATCAATAATTATTGAATAAGTAAATAAAGCATATTTATTGAGAAGTAGGGCCTCAGTACCTATTACCCTCTCCTGAGGGTTCATATTATGCATAGGGATTTTACAGACTTCGAAGAAACCTGACCATTATTGAATTATTGTTAAGTGTTAGCTATTGGTTTGTTTAATAGCTTTCAGTTTGCTATGAGAAGGATTGATTCAGCTGACTCTTTACTAATTTGTTGTCCACTTAGTGTTTTCAGGTCTTCTCTAAGGAGTATCTCTAAAAAGAACCCCAGAGTAATGTTTTGATCTAAAGTTTAAACTAGAGTAAACCTTAAAACTGTGATTTATTGGCTGGGTGCGGTGGCTCACGCCTATAATCCCAGCACTTTGGGAGGCCGAGGCGGGTGGGTCATGAGGTCAAGACATCGAGACCATCTGGTCAACATGGTGAAATCCCGTCTCTACTAAAAATACAAAAAATTAGCTGGGCATGGTGGTGCGTGCCTGTAATCCCAGCTACTCGGGAGGCTGAGGCAGGAGAATTGCCTGAACCCAGGAGGTGGAGGTTTCGGTGAGCTGAGATTGAGCCATTGCACTCCAGCCTGAGTCACAAGAGTGAAACTCTGTCTCAAAAAAAAAAAAAAAACAAACAATATGCATTTATGAGTGTGTTGGTTTAAGTTTTTCAAATTTTGTTTTTTCTCCATCTTTTCATTTTAAAAAAATATTTTAGAAAGAAAAGTTTGGCTGGGTGCAATGACTCATGCCTGTAATTCTAGCACTTTGGGATGCTGAGGCAGGCAGATCACTTGAGGTCAGGAGTTTGAGACCAGTTTGGCCAGCTTGGCAAAACCACTACTAAAAAGACAAAAATTAGCTGGAAGTGGTGGCACACACCTGTAATCCCAGTTACTTGGCACCTGGGGCATGACAGTCGCTTGACTCTGTGAGCTGAGATTGTGCCGCTGCACTCCAGCTGGTGACAGAGTGAGACTCTATTTCAAAAAAAAAAAGAGTTCTATGGGCTTACTTGGTAATAAACTAAATATATAAAATTATATATATAATATATATATATGCATCTACATGTTCTGGAGTTTTAGGAGGAAGAAAATAATCATTTTTCTCTTACATCTTGAAATTAACGATATGCTTTTTAGTTTTGAACTTTTGTTGTTCTATTCCCAACCACTTACGTAAGTTTGTTTCTTTTTTAGGAGGATGCTCAGGATATGGATGCCTATACCCTAGCCAAGGCCTACTTTGATGTTAAAGAGTATGATCGGGCAGCACATTTCCTGCATGGCTGCAATAGCAAGAAAGCCTATTTTCTGTATATGTATTCCCGATATCTGGTGAGGGCCATTTTAAGATGTCATTCTGCCTTTAGTGAAGCATCAATATTTAGAACCAATGGAAAAAGTTAAATCTTTTAAATAGCTTAGCAATGGGCCACTGAATGAATGTACTTTATAAATACTTCGCATTAATAAAAAAAGGATATCATAAATAAGTTAAAAATAGTGGTACAGAAGAAAATATTCTTAGGAATAACTAACAGGATAAATAACAACTGGATTATTTGCTTTAGGTTATATAAGGTTCTTCATGTCTGTGAATTAATATTATTGTGTAAGAATTAAGTTAAAAAGCCTGGGCTGATTTTTAAATTTATAAATTCATTTATCATTTTTATAGTATATTGGTTGTTTTTCTTTCATGACTATTAAAAATTATGACTTTAAAGGACAATGCAAGTAAACCAATTTAATACTGTATTGAATAATAATTTAAGTATAATTTATTATTTTACTTTGAAACATGAATTTACTTTCCTACTTTTTCTTAGTTGTTTTCTATATAAATTGATTTTAAAAACATTTTATATACTCCTCATTTCCTAGTATAAGTAGAGTATCCTTTATTTGAAATGCTGGAGACCAAAAGTGTTTTAGATTTCAGATTCTTTTCAGATTTTGGTATATTTGCATTATACTTACTGGTTGAAATAAAAAATACTCCAGTGAGCATTTCCTTTGAGTGTCATATTAGTGTTCAGAAAGTTTTGGGCCAGGCGTGGTGGCTCACACCTGTAATCCCAGCACTTTGGGAGGCCAAGGCTGGTGGATAACCTGAGGTCAGGAGTTCGAGATCAGCCTGGCCAACATGGTGACACCCCAGCTCTATTAAAAATACATAAATTAGCTGGGCATGGTGGCCTGTAGTCCGAGCTACTCAGGACGCTGAGGGTGGAGAATTGCTGAAACCTGGGAGGTGTAGGTTGCAGTGAGCCAAGATCATACCATTGCACTCCATCCTGGGCAACAACAGCAAGACTCTGTCTCAAAAAAAAAAGTTTTAGGCTTTTAGGTTTTGGAGCAATTCAGCTTTCAGATTTTCTGATTTGATTAACTATTAGCATATTTTGTATTTGGCAAGCATGGTAAATTCCTGCAGTTATAGACTATGTTTAAGTCATCTTTGTTTTAATTTACCATTTTAACTTTTTTTTTTTGAGATGCAATTTTGCTCTTGTTGCCCAGGCTGGAGTGCAATGGTGTGATCTCAGCTCACCGCAACCTCTGCCTCCCAGGTTCAAGTGATTCTCCTGCCTCAGCCTTCCGAGTAGCAGGGATTACAGGCATGTGCCACCACACTGGGCTAATTTTTGTATTTTTGTTAGAGACGGGGTTTCTCCATGTTGGTCAGGCTGGTCTTGAACTCTTGACCTCAGGTGATCCACCCACCTCAGCCTCCTGAAGTGCTGGGATTACAGGTGTGAGCCACCGCACCCAGCCCCATTTTACCATTTTTTAAGGCAACCATCACCACCTCCATCACTAGAACATTTTTTATCTTGTAAAACTAAAATTCTATACCCATTAAACCATTCTATACCCATTTTTCCATTCCCCAAGTTGGACCCCTTTGCAAAACCATTCTAATTTCTATTTCTATGATCTGGACTACTCTAAGTACCTTACATAAGTAGAATCATGCAGTATTAGTCTTTTTGTAACTGGCTTATTTCATTTAACATAATACTGTCAAGTTTCATCCATGTTGTAGCACATATAAGGATTTCCTTCCTTTTTAAGGTTTAATAGGATTCCATTGTATTTATATACCACATTTTGCTTATCTCCATGAATTGAACAAAGATATTTTGAAATTATGGGATTTAAAAAGTTAAATCTTTCAAATATAATCTATACCTTTGTAGAAACACTAATTTGGATGAGTTATGGTAGAATAGAACCAGCATTTGCTGAAGTTTGTGATAAAATAAAGTTCCTTAAGGCAAATATATAAAACATAAAAGGAAGCCTGGGCAGCATGGTGAAACCCCATCTCTACAAAAAAATACAGTAATTAGCCAGGTGTGGTGGCACATGCCTGTGGCCCCAGCTACTTGGGAGGCTGAGGTAGGAAGATTGCTTTAGCCCAGGAGGTGGAGGTTGCAGTGAGTAGAGATTGCACCACTGTACTCCAGCCTGGGAAACAGAGAAAGACCCTGTCTCTGACAACAACAAAAAAAAACTGAAAGAAAAAAGAGTCTTAATGTTTACACCTTTTATTTAAAAATAATTCCAAATTGACAAGTTGCAAGAATAGAATAGTACAAAGAATACTGACGTACTCTTTTTTTTTTTTTTGATGGAGTCTCGCTCTGTCGCTCAGGCTGGAGTGCAGTGGCATGATCTCGCCTCACTGCAACCTCCACCTCCCGGATTCAAGCGATTCTGCATCAGCCTCCTGAGTAGCTGGGACTACAGATGCATGCCACCCTGCCTGGTTAATTTTTGTAATTTTAGTAGAGATGGGGTTTCACCATATTGGTCAGGCTGGTCTCGAACTCCTGACCTCAAGTGATCCACCTGCCTTGGCCTCCCGAAGTGCTGGGATTACAGGCGTGAGCCACTTGCACCTGGCACTCACATACTCTATCCGGATTTGCCTAATGTGAACGTTAATCGTCTTTGTTTTATCATTTCTCTCTACTTCTTTATGTCTATACAATGTGTACATACCTATGGAATTGTTTTACTCTGAACCATTTGAGAATAAGTTGCAGATATCATCATTCTTTACCCCTAAATGCTTCAGTGTATTCTCTTTAGAATAAGGACATTTTCTTAAGTAACCACAATGTAATTACCACCTTTAGTAAATTTAACATACCATATTGTTAAATATGGTATTTGATACCATATTTAATCTACAACTGAATTCCAGTTTTTTTTTTGTTTTTTTTTTTTTTTTTGAGACGGATTCTAGATCTGTCACCCCGGCTGGAGTGCAGTGGTGTGATCTCAGCTCACTGCAACCTCCACTTCAGGGGTTCAAGGGATTCTCCAGCCTCAGCCTCCTGAGTAGCTGGGATTATAGGCACTCATCACCACGCCCGGCTAATTTTTGTATTTTTTAGTAAAGATGGGGTTTTGCCATGTTGGCCAGGCTGCTCTTGAACTCCTGACCTCAGGTAATCCACCAGCCTCAGCCTCCCAAAGTGCTGGAATTACAGGCATGAGCCATGGTGCTCTACCAAATTCCAATCTTGTCAATTGAATTGACTTAGCAGTATCTTCTATAGCATTTCACCCTCAGTACAATCTAGGATCAGTTGTCTTGTCTCTTTAATTTCCATTAATCTGGAATAGCCTTATTTGTCCTTTATGACATTGACTTTTTTTTTGAAACTTATAGTTCTTCCTTTCCTGTTTCTTTTTTTTTTTTTTTTTAATTAATAGACTATTTTTTAGAGCAGTTTTAGGTTCACAGCAAAATTGAACAGAAAGTACAGGAGTTCCCATATACCTCCTTCTCCCCCATCACAGAGCTTCTCTCACCATCAATATCCTGCACCAGTGTAATACATTTGTTATAATCAATGAACCAGTATTGATACATTGTTATCAACAAAAGTCTGCAGTTTACATTAGGGTTCACCTTGTGTTGTATATTCTGTCGTTTTGACTTCTTTTTCGTTTCCATTTCCCCTTCCTTTCCTTTCCCCACCTTCTTTCTTTTTTCACATATTCCTGCTACATGAATCTTTCCCTTTAGTTAATAGAACATTCTTCATTTTGGATATGTCTGATGTTTTTTCACAGGGCATTGTATTAGTGTTACATAATGTCCATAATCCCCCTCACTGCTAAAGTTAATTTTTATCATTTGATGAAGATGTTATCCATTTTCTCCAGTGTGGTTACTATTGTTTCCCTTGCAACTCAACAATCTGTGGGGATACACTTTAAGACCATGCAAATATCTTGCTCCTCATACAAATTTTTCTCTAAATTTAATATTTATTATTAATTTTTATCTGAAGTAGTCTTTACTATAATGTTGCAAAATGATAATTTTTCTACTCTAGCATCTGTCTACTTTTACTCCTCAACACTTGGCATTCTACTTTAAGAAAGAGCCTTCCCTCCCTTTCCCCATTTATTTATCTGTTTAGTATTGGTATGGACTCCCATATTTTTAATTGCACATAATTCATTACTTATTTTGGTGCTCAGATAACTCCAGATTTGGCTAGCGAGCCCCTGAAGAGTTACTTAAAATTAGTGACCAGCTGGGCACAGTGGCTCATGCCTGTAATTCCAGCACTCTGGGAAGCCAAGGTGGGCAGATCACTTGAAGTCAGGAGTTTGAGACCAGTCTGGCCAGGATGGTGGAACGCCATCTCTACTAAAAATACAAAAATTAGCCAGCCATGGTGGTTGGAACCTAAAATCCCAGCTACTTGGGAGGCTGAGGCTGGAGAATCACTTGAACCTGGGAGGCAGAGGTTGCAGTAAGCTGAGATTGCACTACCGTGCTACAGCCTGGGCAACAAAGCAAAGTGAGACTGTCTGAAAAATATAAAATAAAATAAAATTAATGACTAAAAATAGGTGCCATTTTGGTTGGACTTGGCCCTTTAGGTAGGATCAGGATGCTAGTTTTAGAATAACCTGAAAAAAAAGATCTATTTGTTGATTTTCTCTTACAGTCTGGAGAAAAAAAGAAGGACGATGAAACAGTTGATAGCTTAGGTACGAATTTTTTTCTTTTACCTTTTGACCTAAAAAGCAGGATTGCAAACTTAAATGCTTGCAAGAGCCAGGCAGGTAATATGAATGGTCTGAGGATAGCCTTTGCAAATTGGAAACACCTGGCTTATCTCAACTGCCTTGTTGTACCCACCTTCAGCTGAGGGCTGTGTTGGGGGAATCTGGGCATTGTATTGTGAGGTCTTTCTTCCCTTGGCCCTTACCTGTTTCCTGCAACCTGAAGCTAGAAATTTAGAGTTTTAGTTGTGGTTTTTGATTTTTAAACATTCATAATGAATTCAGATTTAAAAAAAAAACAAACCTGTATGAGTCTGACAGTGTGACTGTAAACCCATTAGTAGTTGCAATTTCTGGGATTCAGTAAATGGGTTTTGTAAGGTATCATTCATAATCTTTGTTTGCTAGAGGTTTCAGGTTTAACTTTTATCGATGCTAAAGAGAATATCTGTGTCTATGAAAATGAGCTGGGTACAGTGGCTCACACCTGGAATCCCAGCATTTTGAGAGTTTGAAGCAGGAGGTTCACTTGAGCCCAGGAGTTTGAGACCAGCCTGGGGAACATAGAGAGAAGACCCTGTCTCTAGAAAAATAAATAAATAAGAAAATGAAAACCAGCATCCTAACCTTAGAACAGAGACTCTATTTCTTTCCTAGGTCCCTTGGAAAAAGGACAAGTGAAAAATGAAGCTCTTAGAGAACTGAGAGTAGAGCTCAGCAAAAAACACCAAACTCGGGAACTTGATGGATTTGGACTTTATCTGTAAGTGTTAGAGTAATTTGGAACTTTCTGTAACATGTTCTTCTGAGTAGAAAGGAGCTATTACATAGCATTAACTTCTGCAATTATTTCTTTTTTGCCCAGGTATGGTGTGGTGCTTCGAAAACTGGACTTGGTGAAAGAGGCCATTGATGTGTTTGTGGAGGCTACTCATGTTTTGCCCTTGCATTGGGGAGCCTGGTTAGAACTCTGTAACCTGATCACAGACAAAGAGATGGTAAATTGTGATGAGCTATGTGAAAAGCCCTCTGCTTCAAGACTTCTGTAATTCTGTTATAATACAGGAGTGGGGGAAGTTTTGGCAGGCCTTTGGTTTTAGTTCTCTCATTGCTGCACCTCTGGTGTCTTTCACTGTTTTAGAATTAAGTCTTTGAAAGACAGATAACTAGCTCTTTTTCGGTAGTTGCTGTTGGATTTGCATCCAGTTATATTGGAATATTTTTTCATATTCATGTTTTTACATTTCGGTTCTACAGTGACTTGTTTTTGTTTTTGTTTGAGACGGAGTCTTGCTCTTTCACCTAGGCTGGAGTGCAGTGGTATGATCTCAGCTAACTGCAACCTCCACCTCCTAGGTTTATGCAGTTCTCCTGCCTCAGCCTTTCAAGTAGCTAGGCCTGTAGGTACGCACAACCATGCCCAGCCTACTGTGACTTATTTTATAGACAATATTATTATAGTTTCTCCCCTAATCCCAGAGATGCTATAGGAAAAGTTTCTCTGCTATCAAAAACTGTATTAAAAAATTATGGCCAGGTACAGTGGTTCGCACCTGTAATCCTAGCACTTTGGGAAGCTGAGGCGGGTGGATCACCTGAGGTCAGGAGTTCAAGACCAGCCTGGCCAACATGGCGAAACCCTGTCTCTACAAAAAATACAAAACTTAGCCAGATGTGGTGGTGGGTGCCTGTAATTCCAGCTACTCAGGAGGCCGAGGCAGGAGAATCACTTGAATTTGGAAGGTGGGTGTTGCAGTGAGCCCAGATTGTACTACTTCACTCCAGCCTGGGTGAAAGAGCAAAACTCTGTCTAAAAAAAACAACATTGTTCAGGCCTTTTCTGAGCTGTCATGGATTCTGTAAAGATTCAGAAATTTGCTTATTAAGGAAATAATGTGTATTAAGTTGTTTTTAAACTGCAGTCATTTTATTAGCCATTAGCAGAGGACATTGTCTATAGTGTTTATTTTGCTATTCTTCAGTAGTTAATAGAAGCAGCAATACACTTCCTTTTTTGGCCTTAAAATCTTGTTGATTTCCCCTAGTAATGCTTCATGTCACTAAATCTGTATCTGAGATCTTATCTTGGTTTACCTGTATTCACCTATGTCTAACTGCCTACTAGACTTTTATTGAAAGTTTGTCAAACAATCTCTGGATTCAAAATATGCAAAACCAAATTCCTTGTCTTGCCTACCAAATTATTTCTCCCAACTTGATAGACTCTTACTAGCATCACTGTTTACAATGACATCCAGTCTTGACACATTAGAGTCATACTTGTGGCTTCCTTTTCTCTTATCTCCCTTTATCTAGTCAGTCATGAGACATAACCATGGTTACTTTCTTGTGTGCATCTCTTTTTCTTGGTTTCTTTTGTCATCTCAGTTGTCATCTCAAATTTGGATTACTTATAAGTAATGGATACTTTCTATCTAGGGTTCCCATTTTCATGCTTCCCTGCATACTATTTCCAAACGTTTTTGTGTGTGTGGAGATGAGGTTTAACTCTCTTACCAGGGCTGGTGTCAAACTCCTGGCCTTAAGGAATCCTCTCCCATAGTTTCCCAAAATGCTGGGCTTGCAGGCTTCAGTCATTCCACCTGGCTTGTTTCCAGACTTAAAGCTTCCATGTCATCATGTCATTCTCTTACTGAATATTTGCAGTAGTTCCCTTTTGTATCACATTATCTGTTGTACCATAGGATTCACTCTACCAGTTCAGTTTTATTTTTCCACTACTTCCCAGTACATAGCCTCCTCGAAAACCAAGCTAGTTTCCTCATCCTACTCACTCAAATTCATCATGACTGCTTTGCCTCTCCTTATGCTATTACCCTTGTCTATACTATTGTCTTCTTCCTCTTCCCTTTGCTATTCCAATCCTACCCCATTCTCTAAGACTCACCTCAAATCCTGTCTTTTCTTTGGAGCCTTTCCCAGCTAGGCCATTCCTCCCTGTTGTGCTTATTAAGTCATATTCACTTAATCGGACTGCCCTGTTTTCATTACTAGGTGTTCTAATAAAATTTTAGTGATAAATTCCTTTAGACAATATAGTTCCTGGATGTTTGTTTGGAAGAGAGGTCAAGTTATATTAAGTGTGTCCCTCTCTCTCCTGCTGCCAGCTGAAGTTCCTGTCTTTGCCAGACACCTGGATGAAAGAGTTTTTTCTGGCTCATATATACACAGAGTTGCAGTTGATAGAGGAGGCCCTGCAAAAGTATCAGAATCTCATTGATGTGGGCTTCTCTAAGAGCTCATATATTGTTTCCCAAATTGCAGTTGCCTATCACAATATCAGAGGTGAGTGAATAAAGACAATGGAATACTATCAGACCCTGACAGGTGCATTGTGCTGTTTTCTGAACTATCTTCTTTCTGCAGATATTGACAAAGCCCTCTCCATTTTTAATGAGCTAAGGAAACAAGACCCTTACAGGATTGAAAATATGGACACATTCTCCAACCTTCTTTATGTCAGGGTGAGCTGCTTCCCTTGATTGGATTTGATTAAGCTCTTTTGTGCACTAATCTCCTGGGTTGGATTGTCACTCACTTATATTAGCTAGAGGAAAAATAATTTAGGGAGTTCTTTTGTCATGCTTAGAATTTCTTTTTCTTTTATCCCAGAGCATGAAATCGGAGTTGAGTTATCTGGCTCATAACCTCTGTGAGATTGATAAATATCGTGTAGAAACATGCTGTGTAATTGGTAAGAGTTAACTACATTTTTTTCTTTTAAGATTTATGTTTATTACAAGTAATATATGTGAAAATAACCACAGTTAGCCAGGGATGGTGATACATGCTTTTAGTTTTATCTACTCAGGAGACTGAGGCAGGAGGATCACTTGAGTCCAGGATGTCAGGGCAGCAGTCAGCTGTAATCACGTCACTGTGATCCAGGGCTGGGCAACAGAGTGAGAGCCCATCTCTTAAACAAACAAAAACCCAATAATACAAAAGTACCAAAGGTAACAATTACATACCGCAGAATGTAAAAGCTCACTGTAATCCCACTCTGAGGATTGTTTGGTGAACATGATTCCAGAATATTTTTCTGTGCATAAATATTAAAAAATGTATGTGTATGGCTGGGCATCGTGGCTCACGCCTGTAATTCCAGCACTTTGGGAGGCTGAGGCGGGTGAATCATGAGGTTAGGAGTTTGAGACCAGCCTGACCAACATGGTAAAACCCTGTCTCTTTAAAAATATAAAAATTAGTTGGGCGCAGTGGCAGGCGCCTGTAATGCCAGCTACGGGGAGGCTGTGGCAGAACTGCTTAAGCCCGGGAGGTGGAGGTTGCAGTGAGCCGAGATCATGGCAGTGAGCCGAGATCATGTCACTATACTCTTACCTGGGTGAAAGAACAAGACTCTGTCTCAAAAAAAAAAAATAAAAGTATGTGTATATGTCTTTGTCTATATTGTTTGCTTGCAAAAATGATATCATTATACATAGTGCTATCTAACTTCCTTTCTTTAAACTTAATATATCTTTGTCATCTTTTCATGTTAGTACATTTAAGCTTGTATTATTTTTGATGACTCTCTAGCATTTTATAGATGTACCTTTTTTTTTTTCTTTAAGAGATAGGGTCTTGCTCTGTCACCCAGGCTGGAGTACAGTGGCACAATCTTAGCTCACTATAACCTCCAATCCCTGGGCTTAAGCAGTCTTCCTACCTTAGCCTCACAAAATGCTGGAATTATATGTGTGAGCCACCAAACCTGGCCATCATTTTAATTTAGTCATTTTCTATTATTATAAGTTGTGGCTAGTTTTTATTAATATAAACATTGTTTCAAGAAACATCTTTGTATATATATATTTATTTTTGCATACTTATGCAACTATATCTATATAATAGTTATGTAAAACATACATACCTTTGATCCAGCCTTTCATAGCAGTAAGAATTTTGAATCTGAAAAGAGATGAGACTGTTTTCCTACATTAGGGTGGCTCAGTCTGAGCACTGTTGACATTTTGGGCTGGATAATTTTTTTTGTTGGGGGCTGTCCTATGCATCACAGGTGTTAGCAGTATCCTTGGCCTCTACCCACTAGATGCCAGTAACTCCCTTCCCCCAGTTGTGACAATTTGACAACTAAAAGTGTTTCTAGACATTTCCAAATGTTCTCTGGGAGTCAGACTCACCCTCAGTTGATAGCCATGGCCCTCTATACTTGGCCATGCTGTGTGGCCTGATAATCAGTTGCCATAGACAGGTGAGTGATCAATCCTGGATGAAAGTAAGTTTGGTTGGTTGTGACTGAAAGCCTAGCTTCCCTGTTCCTGGGTCTGGTCACATTACATTGACATCATATATTTGTACCTTTCCAGGTTAGGATATTGTTAATAAACAGATGGAATTTTAATCCATCAGTAGTTCAGTAAATTTTTTTTAGCCCTTGAAGAATTTATGTGGTGGCTCATACCTGTAATCCCAGCACTTTGGGAGGCTAAGGTAGGAAGATCACTTGGAGGAGTTCGAGACCAGCCTGGCCAACATGGCAAAACTCTGTCTCTACTAAAAATACAAAAAAATTAGCTAGGTGTAGTGGCGCATGCCTGTAGTTCCAGCTACTTGAGAGACTTAATTAAGCGGGAGCAACTCTTGAACCCGGGAGGCAGAGACTGCAGTGTGCCAAGATCGTGCCTTTGCACTCCAGCCTGGGTGACAAAGCTAGACTCCGTCTCAAAGAAGAAGAAAAATAATTCTGTGAGAACACAGTTTAACAAGGATCAAATGATCTTTTCAGTATTGGAGCATTATAAATAAATCATAAATTCCATTATGGTGAGACTGGGCTCCAGTTTATTCGGAAAGCATCTCCTTTGCATCCTTTCTGTGCCAGGCACTGTGCCTTGTATTGTAATACCTACCCGAATTGCCTATTGAAGATGACCAAAAGGAAACAACTATAATTCGTGCACTGAGTGTTATGATTAAGGTAAACCAAAGATGCTAAGGGAATATATAGGAAAAGCATCTAATTAGCCTGAGATTAGAGAAGGCTTCTTAGAGAAGGTGATGCTTAAAGGATGGGCAGAAGAAAAAGAACTCGAAGGGAGAAGGGTTGACTTCAGAAGGGCATCACAGTACAGAGGCATTGAAGTGTGCAGCAGACATTGTGCTTGAAAGAGTTCACTGTGCCTGAGGCTTGGTGTGGGAGGTAAGAATGTACAAACAGAGGCTAGATCTTGAAGAGCCTTGATGCCTTTCTAAAGTGGTCAAGAGCTGGGCACGGTTGTGTGTGCCTATAGTCCCAGATACTCCAGAGGCTGTGGCAGAGGGATAACTTGAGCTCAGGAGTTAGAGTCCAACCCAGGCAACATAGTAAGATCCCATTTCTAAAAAATTTTTTTTAGAAATTAAAAAAAAAAAAAAGATGTCTGGAGACAGTGTGCTGGAAGGATTAGAGAAAGGGCAAGATGGCCGGGTATGGTGGCTCATGCCTGTAATCTCAGCATTTTGGGAGGCCGAGGCGGGCGGATCACCTGAGGTCAGGAGTTTAAGACCAGCCTGGCCAACATTGTGAAACCCCATCTTAAAAAAAAGAAAGGGCAAGACTAGAGGCAGGGAGGCCAGGTAGCGGGGGGATGTTACACTAGTTTAGTCCTAGGAATGACAGCCTAGATTGATGTATTGGCAGGAGGAATGGAGAGAAGCAATTGGATTTATTTATTTATTTAGACATGGAGTTTTGCCCTTGTTGCCTAGACTGGAGTGCAATGGCATGATCTCGGATTACTGCAGCCTCCACCTCCTGGGTTCAAGCAGTACTTCTGCCCAGACTCCTGAGTAGCTGGGATTACAGGCGCCCACCACCACGTCTGCTAATTTTTTGTATTTTTAGTAGAGACAGGGTTTTGCCACATTGGCCAGATTGGTCTCGAATTCCTGGAGATTGCCAACCTTGGCCTCCCAAAGTGCTGGGATTACAGGCATGAACCACCGTGCCTGGCCAGCAATTGGATTTAAAAGTTATTTAGGAACTAGAACAGACAGGAATTGGTGATTGGGTAACCAGATGGATACCATTGCCCTTTATTTTATTTATTTTTTGACAGGGAGTTTTGCTCTTTTTGAATCAGGCTGGAGTGTGGTGAAGTGATCACAGCTAACTGCAACCTCCACCTCCTGAGTTCAAACGATTTTCCTGCCTCAGCCTCCCGAGTAGCTGGGATTACAGGCATGTGCCACCACACCTGGCTGATTTTTGTATTTTCAGTAGAGTTGGGGTTTTACAATGTTGTCCAGGTTGGTCTTGAACTCTTGAGCAAATGATTTGACCCCCTCGGCCTCCCAAATTGCTGGGATTACATGCCTGAGTGACCGCACCAGCTTTATTTTATTTTATATTTGAGATGGAGTCTTGCTGTGTTGCCCAGGCTGGAGTGCAGTTGCACGACCTCAGCTCATTACAACCTCTGCCTCCTGGGTTCAAGCGATTCTCCAGCTTCAGCCTCCTGAGTAGCTGGGCTTACAGGTGCCCACCACCAGGCCCTCTAATTTTTGTATTATTTTTAGTAGAGACGGAGTTTTGCCATGTTGGCCAGGCTGGTCTTTAACTCCTGGTTTTGGGTGATCCACCTGCCTTGGCCTTCCAAACTGCTGGGATTACAGGTGTGAGCCACTGTGGCCAGCCTATTTTATTTTATTATTATTATTACTATTTTTTTTTTTTGAGACGGAGTTTCACTGTTGTTACCCAGACTGGAGTGCAATGGCACGATCTCGGCTCACTGCAACCTCCGCCTCCTGGGTTCAAGCAATTCTCCTGCCTCAGCCTCCCGAGTAGCTGGGACTACAGGCGCACACCACCATGCCCAGCTAATTTTTGTATTTTTAGTAGAGACGGGGTTTCACATTGTTAACCAGGATGGTCTCAATCTCTTGACCTCATGATCCACTCGCCTCGGCCTCCCGAAGTGCTGGGATTATAGACATGAGCCACCGCGCCCAGCCCTATTATTTTTTTATATAGAGACAGGGTCTTAATCATAGCTCCCTGTAAACTTGAACTCCTGGGCTCAAGTGATCTCTGGCCTTAGCCTTCCAAAGTGCTAGGATTACAGGTGTCAGCCACCATGCTTGGTTCCAGTACCCTTTACATGATGAAAGGAAATAGAGATAGGGAACATAATGAACAGTTTTTTTTTTTTTGACATATTTTTAACAGTTCTTTTTTAAAAGGAGACAGTTAAAATCAAAGGAAGCCAGGCATGATTACTAGCATCAGTAGTCTTAGTGATTTGTGAGGCTGAGGCAGGAGATAGCTCGAGCCCAGGGTTTGAGTCCAGCCTGAGCAATACCATCTGGCAAGATAGTGAGACCCCATTTCTATTTAAAAAAAAATTAGGCCAAATGTGGTGGCCCATGCCTGTAGTCCCAGCACTTTGGGAGGCCAAGGCAGGTGAAACACTTGAGGTCAGGAGTTCGAGACCAGCCTGGTCAACATAGTAAAACCCTGTCTCTACTAAAAATACAAAAATTAGCTAGGCATGGTGGTGGGTACCTATAATCCCAGTACTTGGGAGAATGAAGCAGGAGAATTGCTTGAACCTAAGAGGTGGAGGTTGCAGTAAGCTGAGATTGTGCCACTGCACTCCAGCTTGGGTGACAGCGCGACTCTATCTCAGAAAAAAAAAAACAAAAAACAAAAAACCCCAGCACATATATGAAGAATAATTATTTAGAAGTTTCTTTTTTTCTTTGTTTTAATAATCATTTGAGGCAAACACCTTAATGAACTGTTTTTTTTTCCTCAGTATATCTATCTGTAGTGCCCAGTAAAATTTCTGACATATAGTCAGTAAATCTTTGTTGAATTCAGCCTTAAAAAATTAGAGCAGGGAACATTAGATATGACAAAAATATACTTTAGCATTCATATTATAGACAGTTGAGAGGAAGTGAAAAGGAGAAAGAAGGATGGAGAGAAGGAAAGGAAACTGAGGACCTGAGAGAATGAGACAATCTTAAGAGTAGAGTGATGGCAAGAATCTCCTACTTGTTTAGTCCTGGCTGTTTTTGCTCTTATGTCTTGATATGACTTGCTCCCTTCTGTACCTGTCAGTCACAATCTCTGAGAGGCAGCATTTTATATACGTATATATATATATATATATATATACACTACACAGACATATACTACAGTATAACGTAGTTAAGCTTTGAACTCTGAGCTAGATTGCCCCATTTTAAATTCTGGTTCAGATGCTAACTAGCTGTGTTATCTTCGACAAGTTACCTAACCTTCTGTGCTTTAGTTCCCTCATCTGTAAAAGGAGAATAATAAAATGTGAGCCACTGTGCCTGGCCCATAAAGGAGATTTTTTAAAGTGCAGGGTTTCTCTTGCTTGCTGCACCTCTCCTTCTTTAAGTTACTGGTGTTACCATGTTCTCATGCCACATTAAAAGGAATATATATATACATATACAGGGTTTAATGGGCTGCTTGCTTTACAAAAATAGAATATTATGTACATACCATGTTCTTATGCCACATTAAAAGGAATATATATATATATATATATATATATATATATATACATACACAGGGTTTAATGGGCTGCTTGCTTTACAAAAATAGAATATTATATACATACTAAATGTTTATATACATTTTACTTTTCTCATTCAACAGTATTTCATGAAAATCCTTCCTAGTCTTGGTGTAGCTCTTCATCTTTTAAAACAATATAGCTTAGGGCTAGGTGCGGTGGCTTAACGCCTGTAATCCCAGCACTTTGGGAGGCCAAGGTGGGTGGATCACCTGAGGTTAGGAGTTCAAGACCAGCCTGACCAACATGGAGAAACCCCATCTCTACTAAAAATATAAAAAATTAGCTGGGTGTGGTGGCACATGCCTGTAATACCAGCTACTTGGGAGGCTGAGGTAGGAGAATCACTTGAACCTGAGAGGCAGAGGTTGCAGTGAGCCAAGATCGCACCATTGCACTCCAGCCTGGGCAACAAGAGCAAAACTCTGTCTCAAAAAAAAAAAACCCCAAAAAACAAAAAACATAGCTTTATTGAGGTATAACTTACATACCATAAAATGTTAAGTTTACGTTTCAATCTGTTTTTGTAAATTTATAAATTTTGTAACCATTACCATAATCCAGTTTAGAATATTACATCACCCCAAAAAGTTCCCTCATGTATATTTGCAGTCAGTCCCATTCCCATCCCCCAGTAACCACTGCTTTGCTTCTTTCTCTATAGTTTTGCCTATTCCAGGAATTTCATATAAATGGATTCTTGCAATATTTAGTCTTATTGTCTGGCTTCTTTCAGTTAGCATTTTTTTTTTTTTTGATAGGGTCTCTCTCTCAGGGTCTTGATAGGGTCTCTCTCTCCCAGGCTGGCGTGCAGTGGCATGAACTCCTGGGCTCAAGCTTTCTCCTACCTCAGCCTCTGGAGTAGCTGGAACTGCAGTACCGTACCACCACATCTGGCTAATTTTTAGTTTTAGAGACAGGGTCTCACTATGTTGCCCATGTTGGTCTCAAACTCCTGGCCTAAGTCATCCTCCTGCTTCAGCCTCCCATCCATTAGTGTGCTTTTGAGGTTCATCCATGTTGTATCATGTATCAGTAGTTCCTTTTGCTGCTGAGTAGTAGTCCATGTTTGGATATTCCACATTTTGTTTATTCACCAGTTGATGTAAGACAGATAGCTTTTATACTTTCTTCAGCTGAAATCTTTCACTTTCACTTTTTGAGACCAATGAAAATAGAACTGCTTTGATTCTCCTGTAAGAGGGAAACTTAGAGCACTACCTTTTTTTTTTGTTTCAGATGGAGTTTCATTCTTGTTGCCCAGGCTAGTGTGCAATGGCAAGATCTTGGCTCACTGCAGCCTCCACCTCCTGGGTGCAAGTGATTCTCCTGCCTCAGCTTCCTGAGTAGCTGGGATTACAGGCCTGCGCCACCACACCTGGCTAATTTTATATTTTTAGTAGAGATGGGGTTTTTCCATGTTGGTCAGGCTGGTCTCGAACTCCCAACTCAGATGATCTGCCTGCCTCGGCCTCTCAAAGTTCTGGAATTATAGGTGTGAGCCACTGTGCCCGGCCAGAGAGCTACCTTTTTTGTTTGTTTTTATTTTGAGATGCAGTTTCAGTCTTGTTACCCAGGCTGGAGTGCAATGGTACCATCTTGACTCACTGCAACCTCTGCCTCATGGGTTCAATAGATTCTCCTGCCTTAGTTTCTGAAATAGCTGGGACTACAGGTGCGTACCACCACTCCCAGCTAATTTTTGTATTTTTAGTAGAGACAGGGTTTTGCCATGTTAGCCAGGCTGGTCTCGAACTTTTGACCTCAGGTGATCTGCTTGCCTTGGCCTCCCAAAGTGCTGCTGGATTACAGGCGTGATTCACTATGCCCAGCCTGGGTCTTTAGAAACCTATGCTCCAAGGAATATAGTTTGAAATCCACCAATGTAAAGCATAGTCTAAGAAAACATATATATAGGCCAGATGTGGTGGCTCATGCCTTTAATTCCAGCATTGTGGGAGACTAAGCAGGAGGATCGCTTGAGCTCAGGAGTTTGAGACTACTGTGGCAACATAGGGAAATCCTGCCTCCACAAAAAAATTTAAAAATTACCCAGGCTTGGTGGCATGTGCCTGTGGTCCCAGCTATTTGGAAGCCTTATGTGGAAGGATCGCTTGAGCTCAGGAGGTTGAGGCTGCAGTGGGTTGTGATTGCACTCTTGCATTGCAGCCTGAGTAACAAAGCAAGACCTTGTCTCAGAAAAAAGAAAAAAAAAGAGAGTATGTATATAAATGGTATATCCAGGTGATATTAAAAGGAAGAAAATTTTGCAGTGTTTAGGAATACTTTTTTTTTCTTGAGACGGAGTCTCACTCTGTCACCCAGGCTGGAATGCAATGGCACTATCTTGGCTCACTGCAACCTCTGCCTCCTGGGTTCAAGTGATTCTCCTGCCTCAACCTCCTGAGTAGCTGGGATTACAGGCGTGTGTCACCACGCCCAGTGAATTTTTGTATTTTTGATAGAGGTGGAGTTTCATTATGTTGGTCAGGCTGGTCTCAAACTCCTCGTGATCTGCCTGCTTTGGCCTCCCACAGTGCTGGGATTACAGGCATGAGCCACCGTGCACAGCTTGAAATACTTTTTTTTTAAACCAGAATGTATAACAGATGAAATATATTTCCTAAGGGAGTGATATTTCCCTTTTGTACAATTTGGCTATTTTGCCAGGACTTTAGAGGGAGTGGGTTATGGTTTCATGCCCATTTGGTGAAATGCTATCTATTTTAATGGTCTTTTATTTTTACCTTTCTGATTATTCATTTTTTGTTTGATTTTTAATCAGGCAATTATTACAGTTTACGTTCTCAGCATGAGAAAGCAGCGTTATATTTCCAGAGAGCCCTGAAATTAAATCCTCGGTATCTGGGTGCCTGGACACTGATGGGACATGAGTACATGGAGATGAAGAACACATCTGCTGCTATCCAGGCTTATAGGTGATTATCTAGAGTGGGGTGAGGTGGAGCAGATTTCTGTGATGTTAGGAGCCTCTAAGCCTACAAGTTGCTAACCTTGATTCTGCTTTCTTAGCAGTCTGTCTTTTCTGTTTCTTAGACATGCCATTGAAGTCAACAAGCGGGACTACAGAGCTTGGTATGGCCTTGGGCAGACCTACGAAATCCTTAAGATGCCATTTTACTGCCTTTATTATTATAGACGGGCCCACCAGCTTCGGTAAGTCTGGTCACTTAATGTGTCTGATGTGGCAGGAGCTAATAACTTTTTTTTCCCTTTTGATAGCTATTGTCAAATCACAGTGGATGGTTTTGACTCTTGGAGACCTGAGTTTAAACTTGGTAAATGCTGTTTGGTTATTTTCATTTAGTATATTTCACTAATGGGTTAAAAGTATAATTATGAACACAAAGTAATCTATTATAGGGAGCATTAGGTTAAAGTCTGGTTGTTTCATAGATTTGAAATAGTGGCATACTGGTTCCTCAAGGGAGAACTTCAGTTTCTGTAAGGTCTTTGCTCAGACTGCCTATTCTTCTTTCTCAGACCCAATGATTCTCGAATGCTGGTTGCTTTAGGAGAATGTTATGAGAAACTCAATCAACTAGTGGAAGCCAAAAAGGTACCTTAAATTGGGTCCTGAAGAATTTGGGTGGAAATCTGCTGTTTAGTTGAACGTGGGGCTATCTGTGCTTTAATTTTTCCCTTATTCTGATCTAGATACATAGGAAAGTCTGAATATTTATAGATACATAGTATGAAAGCAAAGCTGGGCCAAGATCATCAGTGGGAATGTCAGTATGTAACCTAGACCTATCAGAACTAGTAAAAATGCATTGCGTTCTATAAATCTGAACTTCTGGGAGGCTTGCAGGGTCTTAACCTTCGTATGATTTAGTCATGGCACATGGGACGATGGTCAAAATTACCAGTTTATTTTTTTGACAGTGTTATTGGAGAGCTTATGCTGTGGGAGATGTGGAGAAAATGGCTCTGGTGAAACTGGCAAAGTGAGTGAAAGGAGTGAAATGCTATTGATATTTCTGCGGGCTTCTCTGGGATGGTGGGTCCTGCATGCTCTAGAGCCTCCTGTCTACCCATCATTCTACATGGGTGTGGGGATGTAGCAGGATGTATGAAAGCTGTCTGCGAATGTAGCCATTTTGACCCTAGAGAATGCCACTTCTGGCTGGGTGTGGTGGCTCATGCCTATAATCCCAGCACTTTGGGAGCCCGAGGCAGGTCAATCACCTGATGTCAGCAATTTGAGACCAGCCTGGCCAACATGGCAAAAGCCTGTCTCTATTAAAAATACAAAAATTAGCCAAGTATGGTGGCAGTTGCCTGTAATCCCAGCTACTCAGGAGGCTGAGGCAGGAGAATTGATTAAACCCTGGAGGCGGAGGTTGCAATGAGCTGAGATTGTGCCATTGCACTCCAGCTGGGTGACAAGAGCGAAACTCTGTCTCAAAAAGAGAGAATGCCACTTCTCTTGAAGGAGGGCAGTGCTTTCCTGTTAAAGCAAGGGGTCAAGAATGATTTGAAGAAAGAAATGATGAAATTTTTGTGTCAGGGCAGTGTAGGAAAACTACTTTCAATGTTAATTTCCTGATAAGGGCCAGAAAAATTAGGAATAACTCAAATAGTAGGCAAAAAGGTTCTTTTTTTTTTTTTTTGAGATGGAGTTTCGCTCTTGTTGCCCAGGCTGGAGTGCCATGGTGCAATCTTGGCTCACTGCAACCTCTGCGTCACAGGTTCAAGCGATTCTCCTGCCTCAGTCTCCTGAGTAGCTGGGATTACAGGCATCTGCCACCACGCCCGGCTAATTTTGTAGTTTTAGTAGGGACGGGGTTTCTCCATGTTGGTCAGGTTGGTCTAGAACTCCTGACCTCAGGTGATCTGCCTACCTCAGCCTCCCAAAGTGCTGGGATTACAGTGGTGAGCCACTGCACCCGGCTTCTTTTTTTTTTTGAGATGGATTCTTGCTCTGTTGCCCAGGCTGGAGTGCAACCTCCGCCTTCTGGGTTCAGATGATTCTCCTGCCTAAGCCTCCCAAGTAGCTGGGATTACAGGTGTATGACATGACACTGAACTAAATATATATATAATATTTAGTAGAGATGGGATTTTACCATGTTGGTCAGGCTGGTCTCGATCTCCTGACCTTGTGATCTGCCTACCTTGACCTCGCAAAGTGCTGGGATTATAGGGGTGAGCCACTGAGTCGCCCCCCCACCCCCGCTTTTTTTTTTTGAGTCAGAGTCTTACTCTGTGGCCCAGGGTGGAGTATACTGGCACAATCTGGGCTCATTGCAACCTCTACCTTCTGAGTTCAAGCAATTCTGCCCCAGCCTCCTGAGGTGGGATTACAGGCATGTGTCACAACGCCTGGCTAATTTTTGTATTTTTGTTTTTTGAGACAGTCTCACTTTGTTGCCAGGAGCCAGGCTGGAGTGCAGTGGCACAATCTTGGCTCACTGCAACCTCCGCCTCCCAGCTTCAAGCAATTCTCCTGCCTCAGCCTCCCAAGTAGCTGGGACTACAGGCGCACGCCACCACACCCAGCTAATTTTTGTATTTTTAGTAGAGATGGGGTTTCACCATGTTGTCTAGCATGGTCTCGATCTCTTGACCTGGTGATCCGCCCACCTCGGCCTCCCAAAGCGCTGGGGCTACAGGCTTGAGCCACCGCACCCAGCTGTATTTTTTTTTTTTTTTTAAGTAGAGATGGGGTTTCACCTTGTGGGCCAGGCTGGTCTCAAACTCCTGACCTCAAGTGATCTGCCCACCTTGGCTTTCCAAAGTGCTGAGATTGATTACCTTACTCTGAGTAATCCTTGAGAATTTTTGCAAAGATGTATTATCTAGCTTAGATAGTAATGTTTATTAACTCTCCTTCCATCATTAGAGTAATGATCCTAAGCTTTGATAACAGTAACTGTCACTTCTAGTACTATTCTAGTTCTGAGGGTATCATTTATGTCAAAATTGATACTTACCTATGTATTGTTTTTTTGGTCTTGTGTACTTTTACTTTTTATCACTAAGTTGCTTTGAGATATCATTTGTATTTAAAAGACCAATTTATTCTGTAGGCTTCATGAACAATTGACTGAGTCAGAACAGGCTGCCCAGTGTTACATCAAATATATCCAAGATATCTATTCCTGTGGGGTATGTATCATACCATGAGAATTATATTGCTGTTATTATTACTGTCACCTCAGTCATTTTGCTTTCCCTTTCTAGGAAATAGTAGAACACTTGGAGGAAAGCACTGCTTTCCGCTATCTGGCCCAGTACTATTTTAAGTGCAAACTGTGGGATGAAGCTTCAACTTGTGCACAAAAGTGTTGTGCATTCAATGATGTGAGTATCAGTTCTTTAATAAAAGGTTTGGATTTTAGACTAGAACACAAGATCTTTACCATGCTGTGGGGGTGGAAGGAAGAATTTATGTGGAAAGCCTACCTGGGCCAGGCACAGTAGCTCACACCTATAATCCCAACAGTTTGGGAGGCTGAGGCAGGAGGATCGCTTGAGCTCAAAAGGAGTTTAAGAACAGTCTGGGCAACAAAGGGAGACGTTGTCTCTACCAAAAATAAATTTTGCTAGGTTTGGTGGTACATGCCTGTGGTCCCAGCTACTTGGGAGGCTGAAGTGACAGAGGACTTGAACCTGAGAAGTTGAGGCTACAGTGAACCTTGATCACACCACTGCACTGTAGCCTGGGTGACACAGTGAGACCCCATCTCAAAAAAACAAAGAAAAAAAAACAAGCAAGCTACGTGCCTGTCTGTGGAACTTGTGTATCAGCTTTTTTTTTTTTTTTTTTTTTTTTTGAGACAGTTTCGCTGTTGTTGGCCAGGCTGGAGTGCAATGGTGTACTCTTGGCTCACCACAACCTCTGCCTCCCGGGTTCAAGTGATTCTCTTTTCTCAGCCTCCTGAGTATCTGCAATTACAGGAATGGGCCACCACACTCGGCTTTTTTTTTGTATTTTTAGTACAGACAGGGTTTCTTTATGTTGGTCAGGCTGGTCTTGAACTCCCGACTTCAGGTGATCCTCCCACCTTGGCCTCCCAAAGTGCTGGGATTACAGGCATGAGTCACCACACCCGCCATATATCAGCATCTTAATAACTTTTTTTTGAGACTAGCTCTGGACATGTTTTGAAACATTTGCCTGACTTTGTTGCAGACCCGGGAAGAAGGTAAGGCCTTACTCCGGCAAATCCTACAGCTTCGGAACCAAGGCGAGACTTCCACCACTGAGGTGCCTGCTCCTTTTTTCCTGCCTGCTTCACTGTCTGCTAACAACACCCCCACACGCAGAGTTTCTCCACTGAACTTGTCTTCTGTCACGCCATAGTTGGCTACTCTCGAGCCAGCATATTGTTAGACTCATCTTAATTAAGCCTTACCTCTATGTAACAAACAGTACGTCTGTTCCAAGGACCTCAGCTCTTGTTTCTATAGATGGCCACAGCGCCATAGGGACAGCTTGTATAATTACCCTCAGAGGCTGACTGACAGAATACTGGCAGGAACAGACATTGTCTTGCCAGTTAGAAGCACTTCTATCTCACTTGTGTCCAGAGTGGTTTTAGATCTTGGCCTTCTCTGAGTGCTTTTTTAAATTTTTTTGCTGCCAAGAAAGTCCCTTTAATAGCACTTTAGCACAGGCAATGCTACAGGAAGTGTCAGTGCTGCTGAGTGGAAGAAAGGCAAAGAAAGGAGGAAACTCTGCCACTCTACCCTCAGCTGGCAGTAGTAGGGCACTGAGTACCCTAGGAAGAAGTCAGAGCAATGGATACAAAAGACCTTGCTCTTAAGATTTGCTGAGCAGGATCCCTATTCTGATGTCAGAGATTAGGTTTAAGTGGAATAGAGCTATCCATTTGTTCTTACTCTACAGAGACGATCTTCCAAAAGTTTTGAGGGGTCTTCTAAAAGCTTTCAAATTGGAAGTAAATTACTAGAGTTGAATAAAAGGTCAAAAAAGAATCTCACAGAGCTTGGGACTGCTGATAGCCCTTACTGAGGGCAAAAGATGGCTATATTGTTAGCTATACTCCTACCAAAGCAAAGCAAGGAGGTAGGATTATAGATAATTTCACAGACATTTGGAAATAATGTTTGTGACTCTACAAGAATAAACTCACTTCAAGCTGATCTGTTTTAATGAATTTTCAATGTAATTGTCTATTATTTTTTCCCTCCCATCTGCAACAGAATACATTTTTTCAGCCTTTATCTAGATGAGATAAAGGAAATCATTCTTGTGGTGCTCTTGGAGTTTCAGGCCTGTGCATATGTATGCAGCAGGAGGTAATATGCTATGTCTGCTGTAATGAATTTGTACAGTAGATGCTATGGATCATTCTGAGCTCAGGGTCCAGACTTCATTCTTATTCCCAGAAATTTGTGTTACCTTTTTACCTCCTAACATATGACACTTCATCTTATATTAAGGAAGGTTTAGAATATCTAATACTACTTGAATTCATTTCTTACTAAGCCTTCTTAGGCGAGCTGTATACTAGTTACTAGTCTCCACTGCCATGCTTTTTCAAGGTTCCCCATGGTCCACAATGATGTTTGATTCTCAATTTTTCTGTCGCCTTTATAATTTGTTTTAATGGTTTTGCTACATTTGGAATTCAATAAAAAATGTGAACAATAATATCTTTAATATAACTTTTTTGTGTGTGCATAGAAACCGTATAAGTAAAAAAAAAAAAAAAATGAGATTACATAGGTGATTATAATACAAAAAGTGGGAAAAAACCTGATATATGGTAAAGCTTAAAAGGGACCTATTTCTTCAGAAGAGTAGCTGACCCACCTCAGGGCCATGACTGCTCTTCTCTTTCCCCACAGCCTTAGTACTTTTTGCCAAAAGGCCCGGATTTGAGTAAAGGGGAGCGCCGTGAGCGTAGGATCCGGGCATAAGGGCTGCAGTCTGTTGAGCTTTGGCAGGTTGGTGTCCGGGGAAGTAAATTTCGAAGAAATGGTTTCTTCCCTGGGGGCGGTTGGTTTGGTTGCTGGTTTTCCTGGTTGTTACCAAGGCGCTTTTTGGCAGAAACCTGGCCTTGGAGTTTTAGCACCGTATGATACTGCTCAGCAATACATGCTGCCTTCTTCCGAAGGTCCAGTTTGACTAGCACCATGTTGTTCTGCAGTTCAGCCAGAGTCTGGTCCTAAGGAAGATCAATAAAGTTATAAAAAACACTTTTGTCTGGTAGATTAGAGAAACAACAGGGCTAATACATAACCACCCATTACTAACAGTTATTAATGACTGTTTCTTTAAAGATTAAAACTCTTTAAGGTCAGAGCTTATAACTAGATAAGGGGGCATTTTCTGAGACCAAAATATAAGCAGTGCTGAATAGGACATCTTCTAACCCATAAGGTGGTATGAGCTTGAGTAAATTTAATTTCTAAGCACCGTAGTCTCTAGATATCAAATTAAATGTTGAGCTTAGTTTAAGATAGACAGTTTTAATATCTCTGGAACCAGGATGCATCTTACTGATGAGAAATGTCATAGCTAAATTGTTAGTTTTTTTTCTTAGTAGTACATAAAACAATGGTTTTTTAGATGAAATATAACAGTAACTCCTCCCTAAGGTGGTTGTGACAGAAAATGCCTATAAATTACTTAGCATAGTTCCTGGTCCTTAGTAAATGCTTAACAAAAAAATAGTTATTTTTATTTTGCAAATATACTGCTGTCACTCTAAGTTCAGCCTAAAAATCTTTACCTTTTTCTTCTGGTCCCCTTTCCTTTCTCACATATACACTGGAGTGGGCTAGGAGGAGAGAAGTGGGTAGTTTGCCCTAACCTGTTTTATTAAGATGTCATCACAAGTGGTCAAGGCTTGACGAAGTTTTCCTGCCCCAGTGCTGTGGCAACAAGCTCTCTCTGCTGATTGGAGAGACTCACCAAGTTTCTGAAGCTCTGTCCGCAGCAGCCTTATATTCTGAAAAAGGGGAAGTAGGAATCAGATTGTGGGCAAGAGCAACCACTATAATAATCTGGAGGGGTCAGGTAGCCATTTGAAGAGAAGTAAAATTAGAAAGGGTAGTGAGCTGAGTGAAATAGCCACTCTCCAGCATCTTGTCTTCCCCTGAACCAGTGATAAGAGTGTTGGATGTGGGAAATTGCCTTAGGTAAGAGTATGGTAAACAGAGAAAGGTAATTACCTTCTGGCCCTCTTCTAACTTCTTGTCCACATCAATGGTGAAGGGCTTGGCTGAGGGTGGCGGTTCTAACATTTTCTGATACTTATGCAACTCTGAGGGAAGGAAACGGGAAACTTTATAAAATATGTGGGGTTTTTTTTTAGCCTTGGCCCAATCTCTTCAACTGAGTTAAGAGTAGCTTGTAGCAAATATCAAAAGTGAGGCTATGTGCGTCCTAGACTAAAATGTCAGGGGGGCTGTAGCTTGCAGTTTAGGAAATTATGTTAGAGCAAGAGTCAGAAGGCCTGGGTTTGAGTAACAGCTCGTCCCTGAACCACTGTTATGTTTCCTGCCTGTCTCTTTCCTCACCTTCAGTGGTGGAGTTTAGCTCTGCCTTGCACTGCTGTAATTTAGCTTTAACCTCCTGAAGCTGCTGTGTGGAGGCAGAAGCTGCCAACCTTTGTGACCGCCGTAGGGACAATTCAGACCCTGATTGCTGTTGGGCCACCGACTGTTGTCTGGCTTCCTGCAAGAGAGCTTCTAGCTCTTCAATCTTTTCATCTCGCTCCTAAGAGGGAAGCAGAGAGCACAATTCTGTGCAGAGCCAGAAAAATATTGCCGAGGCAGATGACTGAACAGACAAACAAAGCACTTGTGACACTGATCCCTTGAAAACCTGTTGTTAGCACTTAATACAATTTCCTGGCCAACTAAACCCTTAATCAATTCACCAAACATAGATTGAACCCAAAGCACTAAGAGGAATAGAGAAAATATATTCCTGCCCTTACTGGAGTAGTTTACAAAATCTCTACTTCAGGCAAGCTAGTGATGGAAATCTGAGCAGTTAGTTGGAGCTGGCTCAGGGCAACTCACCTGAATCTCTTCTTGGTAAAAACTTGTCAGTGACTCCTTAAGGATATTTAGTTTTTCTTCATACATTTCCTCCAATAGTTCCTTTTGGGTGTCCAAATGTTCACTGTCAGAAACAGAGGAGAAAAGAGAAAGTGAGTGAAGATTCTGAGGAGTGAACTTGGGGAACAGATCTTGAGGCACAACTCCACCCAACTCCTTACTTCCTACCCTCTGTCCCAGGTGACAGAGCAAGAGGGATCACTCAGCTAGTACCTGCACCACTGTTCCCGCTGTTGCATCTGTTCTACCATCTCAGTGCAAATTTCATCTCGGAGCTGCATCTCCAGCTGCAACTTTTCCTGTCGTTCTTTCAAAAGCAGTACCTTCATGGCTTCCACTACTTGTAGAAGCTCCTAGGGGAGAGACACGTGTCAGAGGTCATCAGATGCCCATGCCCTCGAGAGGCACAAGCCCACCTGGAAGGCACCATAGAAAATGTGTAGCTACTAAGCTGCTGCACCAAAGCCTTCTTGAATTCTCACCTCTTTGCCATACATGGAGACGTCAGCTTCATTTTCAGTGTTATTATCAAGGCCTGCGTCTGCCTTAGCCCCTTTCTCTAAGCTGGGGGATGCCTGAAGACTATGTTCCTTGATGAATGAGTGCAGGGATGGGAATCCTAGTTGCACAGGTGGGGCATGCACAAGCTAGAGAGAAAAAAAAATATATCTTACTTGAGTCTGTAAGTAGTCCCTAGGAGCTTTCTTAGAGTTACCAGTTCCAAGTTGAGCATACCCATCATACCTCTAGCTTCTCACCTGGCTAGCAATGGCTGAGAACTTGGCCACATGAAGAGTCTCATCATAGGTAGATGCACAGGGATTCACATTGACAATCATGCAGGAACGGCCTCGGCCCGTGAAGAAACCTTGGAACACTCGAGTCAACTTGCTGTCACGGAACGGAACCAAGTTCTGCTTTGAGCTGGCAGAGAATCAGAGATACTAGAGCTGTGAGCAGAACAGCAGCCTTTGGGGTAGCCTAGCACCAGTGGTGATCAGGAAGTCTCTTAGCAAATTGCAGAGCCTAGGGCTTATAATCAAAAGCTCACCGGTTCTGCTGGTTTTGACGAAGGGCAGCAATACAGCGGCCCAGGGTGTGCAGAGAGGTGTTAATGTTTCCTGCTTCCTTCAACCGTTCACCACTCTTCTGATCTTTGCAGCGCTCTGAGCCAGCCAGATCACAGAGTGACAGCCTAGAATGATGCACAGGATCTGACAAGGGCCTCATATGTTATGAGCCTTCTGGCCCTTTGTATAATTCTGGAGAGGGGAGGGCCCACTAAGAATCTCTGCACCCAAAGAAGGAGAACAAGTTCCCCTAAGAACCTCCCTCATGCTTTCCCGACTACCATTTATGACCAAGAAGCCCAAATTTCGAAATGGAAAAACTTACTCGCTGATCTTGGGGACTATATCTCCTTCCCCATGAAGGTGTAGGATCCTGATTGAGAAGATGCTGTGACTGGAAGTTATGAAAAACAGTCATTGCACATCTTCTATGACCAGACGGAACACTAATGTTTCCTGAACACAGTGAAGTTTATTCTTACAATCCACTCACCTGCGGCTGGAGTTCTGGTTGAGGTGGGTGCTGGCAAAGCTCTGGTTCTTACGACCCACTTTCAGGAGCTTCCAGGCCTCCTCAGCATCTTGAACATGAATCCAGTTGAGATCTGAGGCCAAAGTAGAGAAGGGTATAAGATGGGAACATCCAACTCTTTTGCCAGTCTCTCCCCAATTGCCCTCCAGTGTTCATGCCAACTTCCCCCATTTCTCATACCTTTCACATAGGGATTGCCATTTTGATCCTCGCATAGCCGCAAAGTCTGCCTCTTGCGCTGCTGGTTAGGCGGTTCTAATAGGTCATAAAGCAATTCATTGTAGATTTCAAAGAATGAGATCCAGATGGAGAAGCGAATGTCTGCTGGGACAGGTACTGGGGCAGTGTCTGGCTGTGCCCATCGGTGACTTGTTTCTGGGGAAGAAGCCAATGTATAGGGCATCAACTTAGAGCAGTTCATCTCTTTTTGGCCTGCAGGGGCTTCAGAAGGCAGACCTCAGATTGCAACCTCTGGTCTGTACTCTGGGCAGCTGTTAGGAACAGGGAGTGGGTTCCTACTGTTTCTTGGCAGAGCCCAGTCATCGTACATACCATCCAGCTGGCTACTGCTGGTATACTGACTGATGGAAGAGAGCCCAGCAATGCCACTGTCGAAGCTGGTGCTGGTACCTATCCGACTTTCAATGTAGACACTCCTCTTCAAGGAGGTGGACAGCTCCTCCTAGAGGGGCACAGGGAGAAGGTAAGCACAAAACTTCCCTAGATTTGTACCCCCTGCCCCCACTGCCATGGATACCAATGCTTTACCTCTTGGAGACCTCCATTTAGCAGAGATAGCTTCTTCATTTCCTCCTGTCGGATCTGCTTGCTATCTAGCCAAATTACCTCATTGGAAAGCAAGGGTTTCAGATCAGGTGTTGGATGAAGTTGGCCTTGGAGGCTATTGAAGATCAGTGCCAGAGACCGGGGAAGAATCCCTCCATCCTTGATGGTACCTGGAGGCATATGAAAGATGGCTGAGGCAAGTGTCTTTCTCCCCCTAACTCAGAGTATCAAAAGGTAAAAACAATGCCATTAGCAGCCAATCAGGAATCCTGTGAAGCATTACTACTCACCTTGAATCGTGTGGGTTTTCCCTGAGTTAGTGACTCCATATGTATAGATGAGCCAGTTCTGGCCTTTGAGTACATCTTTTACCATCTCCTTCACAGTTAGGTTGAAGAAGGATGCCTGTCCCACTTCTGGCCCAAAGATCTAGAAAGAGACCCAGATTTTTAGTGGCCTATCCTTCATCTCCCACTTGCCTCCTGTGCAAAGCTGCAGATATATTCCTTCCTGAGTGGTTGGCTCTGGAGACCACTCAAGCAGCTTCTTCCTGTAGTGCTGCCAGCTGTTCCCCAAACACTGAGGACTAAGCACTCTCTGCTAGTCTATCTTTCACCCAAATCAACAAACACTTAAGGAATGTTATGCCCTAGGCCTGATGCTGTACACACAATGGGGCAATATAATGGCCCCCAATCGTGGGCTTTGGAGATACATGGATCTAGACTCAGGTCCTAACTCTACCCATGACTAACTACATGGCTTCAGTAATATTACATTCACCACACTATCCTTGTCAGGAAAATAAGGAAATAACGATAATAATATAATTTGTTGGAATTGAAATACATATATTACTTGACATAGTGACTAACATATAACTAGGGCCCTCAAATTGTTTACGTGTGCATATACAAGGAACTCACAATCAAGTAGAGAAGCTTTCCCTCTAAAGAGGGAATAAAATTGCCCTTACATGTTGGTCCTTTGTTCACAGACCAGTAACCTCCATACCTGGGAAAAGGTGAACCTGTGGGTGGCTTGGCCAATTCCCCGCTCATTGCTCTTCAGGGCAAAAGAGTCCTTGGGTGCTTGTAGAACAAGGGTCTCCATATTCTCAATATGTACACAACCCTGAGAAGGGAGAAAATACAGCTGTCATAGAAGGCATTCCTGGGAATCCCTTTTGCACTGCATCATTTCACCTTAAATCCTCCCTTCTCAGGCACTCACCTGATCTTCCTGTCGTTCCAGCTCTGAAGGTAACAAGGGCCTAACCCTCAGGTATACTTTCACCTTCTCCATACTGTCCTCAGATGGAACCTGTGGTACAATTCCAGCCCAGAACCACAGATTAATTTCAGCAGTTACCTCTGAGCAAACAGGCAAACAGTAGTTTCTAGGAACCATGATAATACTACCCCATTTCACCTCAAATGTCTCCATGCAGCTACTCTTTGGTTTTACAATTATTCCAACCAAAATAGACATTTTTATGACTGTTACTCTTCCCTGTCTTACCATTATCCTGCAAACCTGGTTTGCCACACCAATGATCTGAGTTAGAATTTGTTGACTGGTATGAAAATTGGTATGTGATACTAAAGTAAAGCAGAGGCAGACACACTTGAATTTGAGTCCCAATTCCATCACTTAGTAACTATGAGACCTTGAACTGTGAGTTCTTTAAATTATTTGCCTCAGTTTCCTCATCTGCAGAATGAGGTTAATAATAACACCCACATCATTCATTCAACAGATATTTAAAGGCTAGGTACAGTGCCTCACACCTGTAATCCCAGCAATTTAGGAGGCTGAGGTGGGCAGATCACTTGAGGTCAGGAGTTCGAGACCAGCTTGATCAACATAGCAAAACCCCATCTCTACTAAAAATACAAAAATTAGCTGGGCTTGGTTGTGGGTGCCTGTAATCCCAGCTACTCAGGAGGCTGAGGCAGGGAGAGTTGCTTGGGCCCAGAAGGTGGAAGTTGTGCCACTGCACTACAGCCTGGGCAACAGAGCAAGACTCCATCTCAAAACAAAAACCAAAAATACCCCCAGATATTTAGAGAGTGCCTACTATGGCCTAGAAACAGAAGCTCTGACAGTCCATAGTGAGAGACATCATCAAGGACCATGTTCTCATGTAACTTTATAAGTCTAAGAGAAACTCTATAAGAGAACAAAATGTACGTTAATGTTTAGCATAGGACCTAGTACAGTGTTTCTCAGCCAGGGTCATTTTCACTCCAAGGGCCATTTAGCAATGCCTGAAGTGCCTGAAGACATTTTTTGATTGTCATGAGTGGGAAGGCACTACTGACATCTAGTGGGTAGAGGCCAGGAATGCTGCTAAACAATGCACAGGACAGATCCCTGGAAGAACTGTCTAGCCCCAAATGTCAACAATGCTGTGACTGAGAAACCCTGACCTAGCAGGAAAGCTACAAAAAATTGAAGCTGTGGTGATACTATTAAAATATGAACTGTACATTCTACTTGCATGATGCCTATATGACCTTGTGCAAATTATTTAGCACAGCTGGGCCTCAAGACAGAGAGAGATAACTATTATCTTTCCCTGAGAGATTAACTGAGAGCATGCACTTGAGGGTATTTCATTAATGCATTGCAAACAATAGTTCTTCTGGACACACAACACTTAAAATTTTTTTTACTTATCATGCCCTTAATTTTTTTTTTTTTTCTTTTCTTTTTGTAGCCATTTTGTCCCAAATGCTCTTAATTTTGAATTGATCTCTCAGCCATTCAGGTCTTTGACCTCATATTACCCTGTATGGACAACTATTGGCCTGAGGATCTCACTTTTTGCCCCAGCCACTCCCCAGTTCCTTTACCTGCTGCTTGTCCTCCAGGGAGGCAGAGATGACAGAGCAGTCTGACAGAAGGTTCTTGCGTACCACAGATCCCAAATCTGCAGCTGTGGACTCAAACATGGGAGAGACTACGACATCGTCGTCGGACAGCAAGCCCGCTGGTGGAGAAAGGATCCCTTGCGACATGATGGCAGGGGCAGCCTAGGTCTAAAAAGACAAAAACGTTAGCAACAGAAGAGGCTGAGAATTTTAGATGAGAAGTCCCTTACCCCAGGACACCGGGTCCCGCTCCCTACTTCCTTTCTCCTCCAATTATCTGCAAAGGGGAAGGGAATGAAGGAAGTTCACTTAATGAACAATTGGGAGAAGTTTGAGGTGGCATTTCTTTTCTTTTCTTTTCTTTTTTTTTTTTTTTTTTGAGATGGAGTTTCGCTTTTGTTACCCAGGCTGGAGTGCAATGGCGCGATCTCGGCTCACTACAATCTCCGCCTCCTGGGTGGCAATTCTCCTGCCTCAGCCTTCCCAGTAGCTGGGACTACAGGCGTGTGCCACCACGCCCAGCTAATTTTTTTGTTTTTAGTAGAGACCGGGTTTCACTGTGTTGGCCAGGATGGTCTCGATCTCCTGACCTAGCGATCCGCCCGCCTCTGCCTCCCAAAGGGCTGGGATTCAGGCTTGAGCCACTGTGCCCGGCCTTGGGGTGGAATTTCTGAGCACTCCGCAGAAATCTGGCCCCAAAAGCAGAAGGCCAAGCCTCAAGTAGGGCGCCTCGCCCGCCGGTGCTGTGCTGGTGGTGTCAGGGTCCCTCGGCTTCTTCTCTAACCTCACCGCAGGGCTCACGGTGAGAACAAAGATGCAGCATTAAGAGAAAGAGATGGCTGCAGCTCCGCCCTCTTAAAGCCTATTCTGCGCGGGCAAGAGCTGGTAACCCGGACTCCAGCCCAGCCGCACACTTACCCGAAGACGTGCCACTGGGTCCTCCTCCGGTACCAGCTCACTCACACCTGGTCTCCGAAGCGGACTGTCGCAGCCGGAGAGCACAACTCCGCCCTCGAGGGGCAGCTTTGTCACCGATACAATATTTTAAATTACGCGCTGCGTTCGTTCGGCCAATCAGATAGCGAAGCCTGTAGCTACCAATCCGCGTAAGGAAAAGGGGCGGACCTAACTGGAATTCCAGTCGTTTGCTTCCGCTTGACCGCTCAAATCAAATGTAGATCCGGGTTACCAACTGTCGCGATTTCGGAGTTATTTGGCAGGGGCTTCTTCCAACTTAACACTTTTCCTTGAATCCTAGACATTTCTTATCCAAGCAGCATAAAGAAAATCTTGAGGTTTCGGCCTCCAACCCTTGTCCTTCCTTAGCAACACTTTTAACATAAGTGCACAAGATAACTGGTTTAGCGTGTTTGCTTTGTCTTGGGGCGGCGGCGGGGGAACGACATTTCCCAGGAGGCACCGCGAACCAACGCTAGTACTCTATTTCCCAGAATTCCCGGCTTTCGGAGCTACCAGACTGTCTCTCCTCGGGGTTGGAGATTTCGGGGCCAAGATGGCGACGGGAACGGGCAGTGAGTATCTGAGCAGGTTTTGCGTGAAAGGCCTTTGTGGATTCGAGGCTAGGCACCATATTTTTGTTACACCACTAAGGAGTAGGAGAAGTGGTTTGCTTGAGAGCCCAAGGTTTTCAGAGACCTGCGCTCCACAGTATCGTGAATACCAACGTGTGGGGCCCCAGAAATCTGGGGACTTGTTTCTCAGGGAGGGAGCGGAGGTTTGAGAGAAGCAGCTTACTGAATCCGAGTGTGTTAGGAGCTCTGCGGGGTAACCGTAAAAGCAATCTAGAAACTTGGGCGTGCAGACTGAAAGATGTTGTGAGCCAGTCGGGTCGGAGTAACCGGCGTCTCAAAGAGCCATTCATTTTCTGACCTCCGTTTGTGAGGCAGAAGTCGGGTCTTTTAACAATGAGCTTTTCCTGCTACTGAGAAAATTGCGTCTCGGGCATTTCAGACATTTTTCTTTTCGTGGACTGAAAGTCTCCTAGGCCTGACGTGGGGAGAAGAGGAGCTGAGAGAAGTAAACAAGTTTATGCTAAGAGGGAGGCGGGGTAGTAGGAGGTTCTGGCCGCTCGGCTTCCTGGGAAATAAAGCCCTCGCGGTTAAACTGGAGGAATAAAGTCCAGTATTCTTAAAACTGGGCTTTTAGGGAGAACTGCGTAATCTGACATTCCCTATTTTTTTAATAAAGCAGAGCTTCAAGCCATGGCGTTTTAAGAAATAAAATGTTATACTGTAATTCGCATGCAACGAATAGGTACCACCTTCACTGTTGGTATTTCACTTGGAGAGGTGAAAATCGAGATTTGGTGATAGCAGTTCACTTTGTCCTAACAAGTCGAAATGTTTTTTATTAGCCTTTTAGACCTCCTTTTAGGGATTTCGGAGCGTAGCACTGCAGTCTCAGCGGTTGTTTCCAAGGTTTTGTTTTTTTTTTTCTCTCTCTCTCCTCTCTCTCCCCTCTTTCTCTCTCTCTCTCTCTCTTTCTCTTTCTCCCAGAACACAAGCTGCTGAGTACTGGCCCCACAGAGCCGTGGTCCATCCGAGAGAAGCTGTGTTTAGCATCTTCTGTCATGAGAAGTGGAGATCAAAACTGGTAAGGTACCTAGGATGTCAGCTCTCCTGGGTCTTAGAAATTGTTGCATATGCTTTCATGTTGGTAGCTTTCTGTAGTTAATCATATTAAGCTGTAAGTAGACTTTCTTTTCTTTTTTGAGACTAAGTCTCTGTCGCCCAGGCTGGAGTCCAGTGGCATGATCTCGGCTCACTGCAACCTCTGCCTCCTAGGTTTGAGTGATTCTTGTGCTTCAGCCTTCCAAATAGCTGGGATTACAGCTATGCGCCACCAAAAGTAGCCTGGCTAATTTTTGTATTTTTGGTAGAGATTTTGTATTTTTAGTAGGGTTTTGTCCAGACTGGTCTTGAACTCCTGGCATCAATTAATCCACCAGTCCTGGCTTCCCAAAGTGTGAGGATTGCAAGTATGAGCCACCATATTCAGCCAATTCTCTGTCTCTATAGATTTGCCTATTCTGGGTATTTCGTACAAATAGAATCATATGTGCTCTTCTGGACTTTATCACTTAACATAACACTTTTGAGGTTCATTCTTATATAGCATGTTTCAACACTTAATTCCTTTTGTAGCTGAATAATAGTCTGTTATACGAATATACCAAATTTTGTTTGTTCATCACTTGATAGACACTTGGGTTGTTTCCACTTTTTGGCCGTTGTGAATAATGCTGCTATGAACATTCATGTATAAGGTTATGGACAATGTTTTTAATTCTCTGGAGTTTTTTGTTCAAGTAGTGAAATTGCTGGGTTACGTAGTAACTCTATTATGTTTGACTTTTTGTTGTTGTTGTTCAAGATTGTGTCACTGACGCCCAGGCTGAAGTGCATTGGTGTGATCTTGGGTCACTGCAGTCTCTGCCTCCTAGGCTCAAGCGATCCTCCAGCCGCAGCCTCCTGAGTAGCTGGGACTACAGGCACATACCACCATGCCTGGCTATTTAAATTTTTATGTTTTTGTAGAGACAAGGTCCTGCTATGTTGCCCAGGCTAGTCTCAAACTCCTGGCCTCAAGTGATCCTCCCAGCTCAGCCTCCTGAGTAGCTAGGACTACAGACCTGTGCCACCATGCTTGGCTAATTTTTTTTGTTTTTTGTCACTTTGTTGCCCAGGCTGGTCTCGAACTCCTGGCTCAAGGGATCTTCCTACCTTAGCCTTCCAAAGTGCTAGGATTACAACCGTGAGCCATCACTCTGAGCCTGGAACTATCATTTTACCTTGCCCTTTATCAGCCCCCACCCCCTTTCTTTTGCATCATCCATTATGAATTTAACTGTCTTGCCACATTTATAGACAATTCAGTACTTTGCTGATTGTTATGTTTTCTAGCATTTTTTTGTCTCTTTAATCTAATTTTTGAAGTAATACATGGCCACCATAAAAACAAAAACACTATATAGTAAGAGCAACAGCAACAGAGAAATGGGTTAAAAACTTGAGTTTATTTTTCTCACACATAAAGTAAGTCTAGGCAGTCCACAACTCTCATAGCAACTTTACAGGGACATTAAGAAGTCAGAAACTACTCTTTCTGTTCCACCTTCCTCAGCACAGTTTATCTTCTGATTATCTTATGGTTCATGGTGGTTCCTTGAGCTTCAGCTATCACATCCTTGTTCCATGCAACAAGAAGGAACAGGGTTGGTAAGAAAGGTCACATCCCTTTTAACAACTTTTTTTGTGATATAATTGATTTGCAGTAAACTGCACTTTTTTTTTCCTTTTTTTGAGATGGAGTCTCACTTTGTTGCCCAGGCTAGAGTGCAGTGGCGCAATCTCGGCTCACTGCAACCTCTACCTCCCAGGTTCAAGTGATCCTCCCACCTCAGCCTCCTGAGTAGCTGGGACTACAGGCCTGCGCCATCATGCCTGGCTAATTTTTGTATTTTTTGGTGGAGATGGAGTTTCTCCATGTTTGCCAGGCTGGTCTTGAGCGCCTGACCTCAGATGATCCACCTGCCTTGGCCTCCTAAAGTGCTGGGATTACAGGTGTGAGCTACCACACCTGGCCACTGCATGTATTTAAAGGGTAAGATGCGGTACTTCTGAAATATATATACTTCTGTGAAACCATCCACAATTAAAGTAATTATTATAGTATCCATTAACAGATGAATAAATAAAGAAAATATGGTGTGTGTGTGTGTGTAATACACATATAAAATGAATACAATGGAATACTATTTAGTGATTAAAAAAAGTAAATCCGGCCGGGCGTGGTGGCTCACGCCTATAATCCAAGCACTTTGGAGGCCAAGGTAGGCGGATCACCTGAGGTCGGGAGTTCAAGACCAACCTGATCAACATGGTGAAACCCCGTCTTAAAAAAAAAAAAGAAAGAAAGTAAATCCGCCAGGCGCAGTGGCTCACGCCTGTAATCACAGTACTTTGGGAGGCTGAGGTGGGCAGATCATGAGATCAGGAGTTCAAGACCAGCCTGGCCAACATGGTGAAATCCCATCTCTACTAAAAATACAAAAATTAGCTGGGCATGGTGGTGCATGCCTGTAGTTCCAGCTACTCAGGAGGCTGAGGACTGGCTTGAACCTGGGTGGCAGAGGTTGCAGTGAGCCGAGATGGCACCACTGCACTCCAGCCTGGCAACACAGCAAGACTCTATCTCAAAAAAAAAAAAAAAAAAAAAAAGTAAATCCTGGCTGGGCATGGTGGTGCATGCCTGTAATCCCAGCTGCTCAGGAGATTGAGGCAGGAGAATCACTTGAACCGGGAAGGTGGAGGTTGCAGTGAACTGAGATCATGCCACTGCACTCCAGCCTGGGCAAGAGAGTGAGACTCTGTCTCAAAAATAAAAAAGTAAATCCTCCATTTGGGTGATTCCATGGTTGAGCCTGGAGGATTGTATGTAAAGTAAAAAAAGCTAGGCACATAAAGAAATGCGATATGATCTCAGTTATATGTGTAATCTGGGAAAAATTATAGACCTCACAGAACTGGAGAATAGAATGGGGCTGGGTGGGGTGGCTTAGTCTGTAATCCCAGAACTTTGGAAGGCCAAGGCGGGCAGATAGCTTAAGATCACGAGTTGGAGGCCAGTCTGGACAATACGACGAAACTGTGTCTCCACAAAAAAAAAATACAGAAACATTACCCGGGTCTGGTGGTGTGTGCCTGTAGTTCCAGCTACTCGAGAGGCTGAGATGTGAGGATGGCTTGAGCTGGGGAGGCAACATAAGAGCTCCTGTTCCCTATAGAAAAGAAAATTAGTCAGGCTTGTGGTGCATCTGTGATCTCAGCTGCTTGGGTGGGGCTGTAGTGGGAGGTTGCCTAAGCCTCAGAGGTGAAAGCTACAGCAGGCCATGATTGTGCCATTGCACTGAAGCCTGGGTAACAAAGTGAGATCCTATCTAAACAAGTGTGTGTGTGTGTGTGTGTCTGTGTATATGTACACATATCACATATACATTAGTGTGTGTATATGTATGTATATACATGTGTGTGTATATATACATATATATGTGTGTGTATATATACACATAGATGTGTATATATATATACATTGTGCATATATACATATATGTGTGTATATATAAACAGCTCATTTTTAAGCAAAACAGGTAAACTGTTTGAAATAGAATCTAATCTGTATATTTCCTTACATTTTTATTAGATAAGTAGTATAAGAATCCTTTTTGATTTTTGAGAAGGAGTCTTGCTCTGTCATCCAGGCTGGAATGCAGTGGCACGATCTCGGCTCGCTGCACCCTCCGCCTCCTGCATTTATGTGATTCTCCTGCCTCAGCCTCCCAAATGAGTGAGATTACAAGGGCGTGCCATCATACTTGGCTTATTTTTGTATTTTTAGTAGAGATGGGGTTTCATCATGTTGACCAGGCTGGTCTCAAACACCTGATCTCAAGTGATCTGCCCTCCTCGACCTCCCTAATTGTTGGGATTACAGTCACCACGCCCAGCCATAGAAAAACAGTATAAGAGTACTTGAGTAAAATTGTTAAATTTTATTATTTTATCAGCAGATACCAAATCATAAAGTTCAGAATGATATACAATGTCTTCCTCCCATTATTGTCCCCCATCTACTAGTATTAGCAGTTTCTTGTGTCTCTCTAGCATTAGTTTTGTTTATGTGAGCAAATATTTTTCCCTCTTATTCCCCTCATTTTTGAACACAAATGATTATATACTATACATGCTGTTGTTTTTTTAAGTGGTAGTGGAGCGGGGAGGGGGTCTCACTTTGTCACCCAGGCTAGTGAGCGACGGTGTGATTTGGGCTCACTGCAGCCTCAACTTCCTGGGCCTAAAGGATTCTCCCACCTCAGCCACACAAGTATTTGGGACCACAGGCCACAGATACACACCACAACACCTGGTTGTTTTTTTTTTGTAGAGACGGAGTCTCCCTTTGTTGCCCAGGCTGGTCTTAAACTCCTGGGCTCAAACTATCCTCCCACCTCTGCCTCCCAGAGTGCTAGGATTATAGGCACAATCCATTGCACACCTGGCATTCATTGGCATCTTTTTTATTCCAAAGTTTGAACTCTAGGCCTTGTACTCTCAGCGTATCTCTCCTGTTATTTTCTGCTTGGTGTGTAATAAAGCTTTCCTCATTTTGCAGGGTGTCAGTTAGCAGAGCAATCAAGCCCTTTGCAGAACCTGGCCGCCCTCCAGACTGGTTCTCTCAAAAAGTAAGTTCCCAAGCAAGTGTTCTTTTAGAGCAGTCTTTGAGTTCTAAAGCAGGCCCTGCCTTTTAATTACAAAGCTTTTGTACCATGATGTGGGAAAATAGTTAAGAATGCCTTTTCTTTTTTCCTACTTTTTGCTAATCCATCCATATATGATCATATTAGACTTTTCTTCTCAGTGTTGCATAATATTTAAGAACCCAAGCTTGGAAATTAGATCTGGGTTCATTATTACTCCATCCAAAAACTGGGTCATTTTCCTTTGTGTTTTTTTCATTTGTAAAATAGTGATGATTTGCTTCAGGATTGTTGTGAAGTTAATTGAGGTAATACATGTAAAGCATTTAACACAGTGCCTTGTTAGTAGATATTAGCTATAAATATTTTCAATTAGGTTGCCTTTACCCAAATGCACAAACTGTAGTCCATAAGACTCTTTCTGTGTCTTGTTTTGATTATTTTGAACTGATTGGATTATCAAGTTACTTACCTGCCTAGAAACCATTCACATCTTACATATATCTCTCTTCTCTAAATCTTACTCTAATCTCTTTAAACTTTGAAAGGGCATTTCTTTTCATGCTTGCTCATCACATTTTCACTTTTTTTTTTTTTTGTAGCATTGTGCTTCCCAGTACTCGGAGCTTTTAGAGACCACTGAGACCCCAAAGTGAGTATAAGGCCAGGTACTTTAGCCAAATTTCTTATAGAGTGTTTACTGAGGAATTCTGGTTTATACCTATTTATAATAGTGGGTGATTTAAAAACATAGCAGAAGTTATCTATGATTAATTGATAAAGAAGGCTCAGAGCAAGTGGGAGAGGGGATAAATGTTCTCTTATTCAAATATGGATTTTTTTTTTTTTTTTTTTTCATTTTCCACAGACGGAAACGAGGTGAAAAAGGAGAAGTGGTGGAAACTGTTGAAGACGTCATTGTTCGGAAACTGACTGCTGAGCGAGTTGAGGAACTAAAGAAAGTGATAAAGGAAACCCAGGAGAGATATAGGTACTTATCAGAGAGAATGCCAAAAGACTGAGAAAGACATAAGAGGCTGACGTCTGGTATTGGTCAGATTTTTAGAATAGATTAAAAATCCATTCTACCTACCTCTCTTTTCTTCCTATAGACGGTTAAAAAGAGATGCAGAACTAATTCAAGCTGGACACATGGACAGCAGACTGGATGAGCTTTGCAATGACATTGCAATGTGGGTTATATTATATTGTTCTTCTGTGCTTGTTTCTTTTTCCCCTCTTTTCCCCTCAAGTAATCTGGCTTATTTCCTCCAACTGCCATCCCTTTAGACTTGAGACAGATTCTGGAAGGAGAAAACTGCAAAGCGGCTTGGTGGCTGGGAGGGGGGAGTGAGTCCTAGAAGGTAATATGATGGAACATTTCAGTATGAAAACATAACTTAGTTATAACTTAAAAGTGGCTCTAGTTTGCCTGAGTGAAGAAGTGGGAGTTAGACAGTATACCCCAGTTCCCTGTTTTGCTGGTTAGAATTCCTGTTTAGGCCTTTCTTCCAGAAAGCGCTGGCCAGGCAAAAAAATTTCTTTTTATGGGTTCTGTGAACTCTGGGGAGGAGCCAGAGCCTGTCTAGTGTCTAACTCTTAATTCCTTGTTTAGGAAAAAAAAATTGGAAGAAGAGGAGGCTGAAGTAAAGAGGAAGGCTACAGATGCTGCATATCAGGGTAAGCTGATCCTAGTATATCTGTTTAGCAGTTGATCGCACAGTACTGCAAGCTAATGACAGTTGGATTGTTTTGTAACATAGAATCCATTGGGTTAAATTTACTTGCACAGTTTTCTCTTCTGCTAGAATAAAAACATCCCTTAATGTCCCAGAAGAAGCTCCTAGAACATGAACTCTGCTCAGATCTCACTAGACCTTAATAAATAACTTTAGGATACCAAGGCTCGATAAGAAGATATTGAACATAATTAATGTTTTAGAAGTCAAAGGCCTGTGAAAAGATTGAGAATAGCTCAGTCATTAGATAAGGGGAGAAATGTAAGCATTTACAACTCTAGGAATAAATGCTGTGAGGTCTTTTCCTGTTTTTGTTCCCCCACCCCCGAGAGCTTGTTGTGCAGGCCTGAAGTGCAGTGGCATGATCTCAGCTCACTGCAATCTCTGCCTCCTATGATATTCAAGCAATTCTTCTGCCTCAGCCTCTCAAGTAGCTGGTATCACAGGCACCTGTCACCACGCCCGCCTAATTTTTTGGCCAAGCTGGTCTCAAACACCTGACCTCAGGTGACCCGCCTGCCTTGGCCTCCCAAAGTATTGGGGTTACAGGCGTGAGCCACCGTACCTGGCCTCCGTGTTCTTAAAAGCAGAGTATTAATAAGTCACTGAAGAGAATATTAAAGGGTATAAACCACTTTCCCACTCCGAGGACTTTTGGGATAACTAAGTAGTTTGAGATTGTTAAAGGAGTTTATTTAGTGTGAGAATTGCCCTTAGGAAAAATTAGGCTAAAAAGTTATCCATCTCCAGAAGTGTTAAAGCTTTCTAATCCAAACTCATTATGCTGCTTTAGTAATGCAACATTCCTATTTGTCCTTTATTGTATAATAGCAGAATAGTGTCAAGTTTCATTTATTTAATCTTAAAGATTTGGACATGTTTTCTTTTACGTTCTAGCTCGTCAAGCAGTAAAAACACCCCCCCGGAGGTTACCCACTGTGATGGTTCGCTCTCCTATAGATTCTGCCTCCCCAGGAGGTGATTATCCACTTGGGGACTTGACTCCAACCACTATGGAAGAGGCTACCTCTGGGGTGAGTATATTTCCAGCTGTAGAAATTGATCAGCTAAGGGGCAATAAGCCGGCAGAGCTGAGTGATGAGGAAACCACTTTTGGTCTAAAGGCAACTTCCTCTCTTGGTCTGAATGCTAAAGAATTTACCATGTTCTGTGCTCTGAGATAAAAATGGACCTAAAAACACTGAGGCTTTTGACCTTTTTGAGAGATAGGTAAAAGACTGTTTTAAGGAATTGTTTCATACTAGTCTTATGAAATTCCTGCTAAAATAAGGGACTGAGTCCTTGTAAATGTAATACTGGTAGTGGGTAAGGAGTTCATAAAAGGCAAGTTGGGTGGGATGTTTGAGTGGATGGAAGTGAAGCTTGTGGGGAAGAAAAGTATGGCTGAGAGCAGGAGGGATAGAGGCTTTCTGGGCAATTCGACTCAGGACTAATAAAATAATAGTTAGACACACTAACCCAAACAGATTAGTAGGGAACCTTCCATAGTTTGAGAAGTCAGATAAAGGTTCTCTGTTGTCTCTTAGGTAACCCCCGGGACTTTGCCGAGTACCCCAGTCACCTCGTTTCCTGGGATTCCTGACACCCTTCCTCCAGGCTCTGCACCCTTAGAAGCCCCCATGACCCCAGTAACAGATGATTCACCCCAGAAAAAGATGCTTGGACAGAAAGCAACTCCACCCCCCTCCCCTCTGCTGTCAGAGCTCTTGAAGAAGGGCAGCCTCCTGCCTACTAGCCCCAGACTGGTATGGAGACTTCTGTGGGTGTTTGAGAGCTGTGGTGATTTAGTACTTGGAAGGGAGTGCCTGGGACCTAAAATGTGACATGGGGAAAAAAAGTTCAAAAGAGGAAAATATCTCCTAATTATATGTTAATTTTTGAAAAATATAGTAAGTTGATAGTACCCTTGGGTCCTGAGGTCTCTGAATCAAAATTATTTTGGTTCTCTACTCCAGAGAACTCTTGTCAAATAAGTTTTGAACATTATAGCTTAGAGTTTCCCTTGGGTATTAAATTATTCTCTGTGGATGTTAACTGTTAGTTTTCATAAAGTTTGATCAACTTCTGGAGCTTTGTTGGGAAATGGTAGTAAAGGAAAACTTGAGTGTAGCCTTCACCTCTGTTCTTCCCTGGTAGGTCAATGAGAATGAAATGGCTGTGGCTTCTGGCCACCTGAACAGTACAGGTGTCCTCCTGGAGGTAGGCGGGGTCCTTCCCATGATACATGGTGGGGAGATACAGCAAACACCCAATACTGTTGCAGCCTCCCCTGCTGCCTCAGGTAAGTTACCACTTTTCCTTTATCTACTTCAGAGGTGTTGAACTTGACATTGACTGACCTCAATTTCAGTGTTTTTTACTAAGTAATTGTTAGTCCTAGTTTAAAGCCCAACTTTGTCTAACTGTTTTTGAAGCTACTTTACCTGGTAAACAATGTAGTGCTCCTGATTATAAAGCTGTCTGTCTTCAAGGTATTGATAGCCCTGATTGACCACAGCATAGATATTAAGAGTAATACTGAGCTGCTTTCTTGTGGCTTGCAAAATCAAGGTACTAGAGATACCTGAGATTCTAGAATAGTGGAATAAGATTTGGAACCAGAGAACTGGGCTTGAATCTCAGACCTGCCACACATTGGTTTTGTGACTTTGTATAGGTAACTTAGCTTTTGAGTCTCAGTTTACTTTTTTTATTAATTGTAATGTATATATTTGATGAAGAGGTGATAAGAATTAAATGAAGAAAAAAGTGTAAAGCAGGGAAAGACAAAAAGCTCCATAAAATATTCTATAAACTTTATTGGTATTTGAATGGTGTTGAACTTGGTGATTTACAATATGCTGAACTTCAGCAGAAGTGACATATTTATTAATACCAGTTTTTTATTTCTTGGTGATTAATTTTCCTCTGAGGAAAAATTACCACCCTTTTTTTTTTTATACAGAGCCTCGCTCAGTTGCCCAAGCTGGAGTGTGGTGGCACAATCTGAGCTCACTGCAAACTCCATGTCCTGGGTTCAGTCAATTCTCCTGCCTCAGCTTCCTGGGAAGCTGGGATCAGAGGTGTGAGCCACTGCACCTGGCCTTACCACCCATTTTTTTATATATGTTGTGTGTTCTAGTGCTTTGGTTCATTCCTAACTTGGAGGAAGATCTTAAGTAAGGTTAGAGAGAGTAAGGATATAGATGATGAACTTACTCAGTGCAGCAGTTGCTCTCATCCTTTGAGACCATAAGAATTTCTTAGCTGAGTCTTTGAGTAGCTATTGCTTCTTGTTTATATGCTTTCTTCTTACTTCATTTTGTGTACCTCTTTATATGTTAGGTGCTCCCACTCTTTCCCGGCTTTTAGAAGCTGGTCCTACACAGTTCACCACACCTCTTGCTTCCTTCACCACTGTTGCCAGTGAGCCTCCAGTTAAACTTGTGCCACCCCCTGTAGAGTCTGTGTCCCAGGCTACCATTGTCATGATGCCTGCGCTGCCAGCACCATCCTCTGCTCCGGCTGTCTCCACTACTGAAAGTGTAGCTCCAGGTGCGTCCCTGAGCAGCCACAAGGTCTAAAATTTGATTTTGAGCTTCATTAGAGAATAATGACCAAGAGCATCAGCTCCAATTCAGATGTTTCTTCTCTGTTCTACATAGACATGTGCCATCTTTATCCTTAGAAATAAATATCCTTAGAAATAGATGTGAGAAGACATGGGTGGGCATTTATGTGTTGCAGGGAAGAGGCTAAGTATACAGATATGAGCAGGCTTGAAAATATGTTCTCACCCTTATAAATAAAACTGAGGAGAAGAAAACATAGGCACATGTATAATGACTCTTTCTGACCTTAAGTGTTTAGATATTTAACATCTGTCTGTAGTGCTGATGTGATCTCAAGGTGGTCACTTTGTACCCAGTAAGCTTCTGAGATGTTTTCTCTTTCTGTTAGTGAGTCAACCCGATAACTGTGTTCCCATGGAGGCTGTGGGGGATCCACATACTGTGACTGTTTCCATGGACAGCAGTGAAATATCTATGATCATCAATTCTATCAAAGAAGAATGTTTTCGATCAGGGGTAGCAGAGGCCCCTGGAGGATCAAAGGCTCCCAGCATAGATGGGAAGGAAGAATTAGATCTGGCTGAGAAGATGGATATTGCTGTGTCTTACACAGGTGAAGAGCTGGATTTTGAGACTGTTGGAGACATCATTGCCATCATTGAGGACAAGGTAACTATTCAGCAAAGCCCCAAATAAAATAATCTCATGGGTCTTATGTAGGCTTCTCTTCTCAGCTTAGCTTTACTGCTGCTTTTTTTTTTTTTTTTTAGAGACAGAGTCTTGCTCTGTCATCTAGGCTCAAGTGCAGTGGCATGATCTTGGCTCACAGTAACCTCTGCCTCCCAGGCTCAAGTAATTCTTGTGCCTCAGCCTCCTGAGTAGCTGGGACTACAGGCGCATGCCACCATGTCTTACTAATTTTTTGAATTCTTAGTAGAGACGGGGTTTCACCGTGTTAGCCAGGCTGGTCTCGAGCTCCTGGCCTCCCAAAGTGCTGAGATTACAGGCGTGAGCCACCATGCTCGGCCACTTTGCTACTTATAGTAAGAATTACTTAAACAACTCTCCTACTTCTGCCCATCTCCATCTTTGTAGCCCCTTGATGCTAACATACTAGTCATCTCCCCAGGCATATCCATGTCACTGATTTGCACAGGACACGTGCCTATTCGTTGTTTGCCTCCACTATATTGGAGAAAATTGAGAGAAAGCTACAAATTCAAGCTATCACATTTGGTGCTAACAAAACTGAGGGACTTGGGCTTCTTTCTGTGACTTCAATAGGCTTGTGTATTGTGGGACAGGTAGATGATCATCCTGAAGTGCTGGATGTGGCAGCAGTGGAAGCAGCACTCTCATTTTGTGAAGAGAATGATGATCCTCAGTCCCTGCCTGGCCCCTGGGAGCATCCTATCCAGCAGGAGAGGGACAAGCCAGTACCTCTCCCTGCACCGGAAATGACGGTCAAGCAAGAGAGAATGGACTTTGAGGAAACGGAAAACAAAGGAATACATGAACTGGTGGACATCAGGGAGCCCAGTGCAGAGATCAAGGTGGAACCTGCAGAACCAGAGCCAGGCATTTCAGGGGCCGAAATAGTAGCTGGAGTTGTTCCAGCCACAAGTATGGAGCCACCAGACCTCAGGAGTCAGGACTTAGATGAGGAACCAGGAAGTACTGCAGTTGGAGAGATTATTGAAGCAGATGTTGCCATTGGGAAAGGCGATGAGACCCCACTTACAACTGTGAAGACAGAGGTATTTAATAAAGATCCGGGGCTGGGAAGATGGAGGGTTATACTGTAGGTAAGAAGTGACAGCTTATGGAGGGTTATACCTTAGGTAAGAAGTGACAGCTTAGGCTTTTTGTTTTCCTGTTACATTCCAGAGTTCTACATGTTTGATGTGTCCAAAGCCCATAGGCTGTGATTAGTGCTATAAATACTTGTCTTATTCCTGTTAAGGTTACCATTGGCGTCAAATTACATGAGTAGGACTTAGAATTTCTTCTATAGTCTCATTATCATTGAAGAATAAAGTTGTGTGAGCTATAATGATTTACCAGTACTTAGGGTATTTTTTTCTTTTTTGGTTTTCAGGCATCCCCTGAAAGCATGTTGTCTCCGTCACATGTCTCAAATCCCATTGAAGATCCTTTAGAGGCAGAGACTCAGCACAAGTTTGAAATCTCAGGTAAATATAGCCCTCTTTAAACTAGCTTGAAATCACTTGCTTTGGCTTCTGAGGGATTGTGGGTTGTGGGCAAGTAGAGGAAGTAGAATAGGTCAGCATGGAAAGGAGAGCTACAGGGGATTACGGTCCATAGGAAGGCTAAGGTGGAAAAATCTTCAGGTAGTCTTTCTCTCCTCTGCAGACTCATTGAAAGAAGAATCAGGGACTATTTTTGGAAGCCAGATAAAGGTATTTCAGACTTTTCTTTATTCCTCTTGCCATGTGATTAGATTTCCCTATAGCACTACTTTTTAATGAATTTCAGTAAAGTCACATCGTTATTCTCTGATAAGAGACTGGTACGGAGTTGCATGGGGAAAAGCTGCAGTGGACAGTCAGGCATAATGGGAGTGCCTCCTAGCAACAGGTGCCTCCCATATGAAACAGTTTGTGAATATCACACAGTCCTTAAGAAACCTCGCTTGATACAGTTAGAGTGATTTAGAGTGGATATGGATACCAGAGCCAAGGAGAACATACAGGAATCAAGTTTATTAATTAGGCTATCCAAAGATAATCATCCGAAGTTTTCTTTTTTGAATTTTTAAAGCAGTAGTAACAAAGACTTGAATGTGATGTGAGCTTACTCCATCAGATGAGACACAAAATAAAAATTATTTTTGATAACTTTGTACCCAGGGTCAGAGTTCCTCTCAAGAGCAAGGGGAAAGAAGGAACGCCTCTTAGCTTAGTCTTCAGTAAGTAGCTTTTTTTTTCTTTCTTTTTAAAAGATCCTGGGTCTTATTCTTTATCCAGGTTCTAAATTACTTAAGCCAGTGTCTATAAGTAGATAGTAGTATAAGTGATAGGGGGCTAAGTTAGGGAACAGTGTGAGGTCATTTCTAGAACGAATCTAACCCAAAAACAGATCATATTTAATGATGCTTTGCTAGATAGCTTTGCTTGCATTTGTTGACTGGAGCATACTGTGTCTAAGGATGCCCCAGGTGAGGATGAGGAGGAAGATGGTGTCAGTGAAGCGGCCAGCCTAGAGGAGCCTAAGGAAGAGGATCAAGGAGAAGGCTATTTGTCAGAAATGGATAATGAACCTCCTGTGAGCGAGAGTGATGATGGCTTCAGCATACACAATGCTACACTGCAGTCACACACACTGGCAGACTCCATCCCCAGCAGCCCTGCTTCTTCCCAGTTGTGAGTATCTGAGATTCTTTGAGGCCAAGGCAGTGAAGGTGAGAAAGAGAAAATCTTTTTTTTTTTTTTTTTTTTTTTTTTTTGAGATGAAATCTTGCTCTGTCACCCAGCTGGAGTGCAGTGGTGTTATCTTGGCTCACTGCAACCTCTGCCTCTTGGGTTCAAGCTTGTCTCCTGACTCAGCCTCCCAAATAGCTGGGACCACAGGTGCATGCCACCACTCCTGGCTAATTTTTTGTATTTTTGGTAGAGACAGGGTTTCACCGTGTTGGCCAGGATGGTCTTGATCTCCTGACCTCATGATCCGCCCACCTCAGCCTCCCAAAGTGCTGGGATTACAGGTGAGAACCACCACTCCTGGCCTCTTTTTTTTTTTTTAAGACAAGGTCTTACTCTGTTGTCCATGCTGGAGGGTAATGGCGTGATCTCGGCTTACTGCAACCTCTACCTCCCAGGCCAAGCAATCCTCTGGCCTCAGCCTCCTCAGTAACTGAGACTACTGGCATATATCACCACACTCCACTAATTTTTAGTAGTGATGGAGTTTTACTGTGTTCCCCAGGCTGGTCTCAAACTCCTGAGCTTAAGCAATCTACCTGCCTTGGCCTCCCAAAGTGCTGGGATTACAGGTGTGAGCCACCATGCCTGGCCTTTATCATGATTTTTAAGTTTTTATTTTTATTTTTTGAGACTCGGTTTCACTGTTATTACCCAGACTGGAGTGCAATGGCACGATCTCGGCTCACCGCAACCTCCGCCTCCTGGGTTCAAGCAATTCTCCTGCCTCAGCCTCCTGAGCTGGGACTACAGGCGCGCACCACCATGCCCAGCTAATTTTTGTTATTTTAGTAGAGACAGGGTTTTACCTTGTTGATCAGGATGGTCTCGATCTCTTGACCTCGTGATCCACCTGCCCCGGCCTCCCAAAGTGCTGGGATTATAGGCATGAGCCACTGTGCCTGGCCCAAATTTTTATTTTTATTTTTTAATTTTTTTTCAGAGACAAAGCCTCCTTTTTTTTTTTTTTTAGATGGAATCTCGCTCTGTTGCCCAGGCTGGAGTACAGTGGCACAGTCTTTGCTCACTGCAGCCTCCGCCTCCTGGGTTCAAGCAATTCTCCTGCCTCAGCCTCCCAAATAGCTGGGATGACAGGCATATGACACCATGCCTGGCTGATTTTTTTGTTTTTTAGTAGAGATGTGGTTTTACCATATTGGCTGGGCTGGTCTTGAACTCCTGATCTTGTGATCCACTCGCCTCAGCCTCCTGAAATGCTGGGATTACAGGCATGAGCCACCACGCCCGGCTGAAACAGGATCTCTCTTTGTGGTCTAGTCTGGTCTTAAACTCCTGACCTCAAGCAGTCTTCTTGCCTTGACCTCCCAAAGCACTGAAATTAGAGACATGAGCCACCAGGCCTGGCCTGATCTTTTCTTTAGTGTTTCCCTTTCTTGTCCTGGAATAAACTGTTGACAAGAAATAATTAGGGCTGGGCGTGGTGGCTCATGCCTGTAATCCCAACACTTTGGGAGGGTAAGGCAGGAGGATTGCTTGAACCCAGGAGCTGGAGACCAACCTGGGCAACACAGTGAAACCTTGTGTCTACAACAAAATTAAAAAATTAGCCAGGCATGATAGTGTGCGCTTATAGTCCCAGCTACTTGGGAGGCTGAGGTGAGAGGATTGAGTCTGGAAGGTTGAGGGTACAGTGAGCATGATCACATCACTGCACTCCATCCCGGGGGACAGAGTGAGACCCTGTCTCAAAAAAAAGGAGATAATTATAATTTTTTTTTTTTAACCTTTGCCTAGTGGAATTGCTGTTTCTCTGTTTCAGCTCTGTCTGCAGCGAGGATCAGGAAGCTATTCAGGCACAGAAAATTTGGAAGAAAGCCATCATGCTTGTATGGAGAGCTGCAGCTAATCATAGGTGAGTGGGCTTTACCAATCAGTAGGTTCATTTTCTCCTACTCCTATTCATTGTTGGTGACTGAAAAAAAATCCGAGTAGGCTTCTGTGAAACTGCTGGTATTGGCTCTTACTACCTTCAGCTACTTAGAGTAAGTTCCCTTCCTGTGCTTCTGGAGAATGTCAGTAATTTCACGTTATTCTTTTTGGACAGGTATGCCAATGTCTTCCTGCAGCCTGTTACAGATGACATAGCACCTGGCTACCACAGCATTGTGCAGAGGTGAGCCACGTTCCATCCAAAATGGTAACTTGCCTAAATTAAAAGTTGTCCAGTTTTAGTGAAGTTTTGCTTTACATAGTAAGTTTAAAGCAAGTAAGTTTATGCTTTTGATGTAAGGGGAACCAAGTGCTAAACTGATCATTCTAGTGGCTGGATTACCAGTGATAGTCTAAAAGAGTAAAACCCCACAGGGAGCAGTGGCTCACGCCTATAAACCCAGCACTTTGAGGGGCTGAGGTAGGTGGATCACTTTGAGCCCAGGAATTCAAGGCTAGCCTGGGCAACATGGCGAGACCCCCCCTTTACAGAAAACACAAAACTTAGCCACGTGTTGTGTCGTGCATTTATAGTCCCAACTACTTGAGAGGCTGGGATGTGGGAAGGATCACTTGAGCATGGGAGATCCAGGCTGCATGCAGTATGCTGTGATTGTGCCATTGCAGTACAGCCTGAGTGACAGAGGCAAGCCCTGTCTCCAAAAATACTTAAGTAAATATACTCCCTTTTTAACCTTTCTCAGTATTTATTATATAGATTGTTTCTTGGGTTAAGCACATGTTTTGGGGTAAAGGGTTAGTCTTCAAGTCCTGGCAGCTGGGAATTAAGGTATGCATGAGAAAATCTGTTATGATGATAATGTATTCAGAGATCTAGGTAAGTCCTCTTCCCACCTCCACTACTACTTATTCCTGTTCTCTTTTTCAGGCCGATGGATTTGTCAACTATTAAGAAAAACATAGAAAATGGACTGATCCGAAGCACAGCTGAATTTCAGCGTGACATTATGCTGATGTTTCAGAATGCTGTAATGTACAATAGCTCAGACCATGATGTCTATCACATGGCAGTGGAGATGCAGCGAGATGTCTTAGAGCAGATCCAGGTATTTTGAGGATCCTTTGTGTTTCAGCAAGGATGAAGTTAAAATACTCCAGGGGAGGGTTCATATTGATGCCAAGAAGGGTTGCTGTGTGTTTTACTTGAAATAGCCATCGGGGACACAATTGAAAACATAGTATTTTGTTCTTATAGAATTTATTTTTATTTTCTCTGGTGTGGTGAAAGAGTTGTGATACAATATTCTGCCTTTCTTGGGCAATTAATTTCCGTTTCACAAAGTTTTTAAATAAATTTTTTTTTAAATGATGAATGTATATTTTTAATTACATCAAGTACCTGGTATGTAGTAGACACTCAGCAAATAAGAGTTTCTCCTTTCCTTTTCCCTTCTTTTATCCTGTGATTGCATTACCAGGTACTTTTTGGGGTGTTGAACTTGGAAGAATGTTGCAAATCTTTGCACAATCTGCCAAATTACTTAAATTGCTGAACTTTGGTTTATTCTAGCTTTATTCTTTTTCTCATTCCTGGAGGATAGAGATTTTGATCCTATATTATAGCAAAAAAGAGGGCTACTTGATACTTTAGCATCCCTATTGCAACTAGAATTAAAACTTAATATGTTAAACTTCCGATCAGTCAAAATATGTTTGAGCCAGAAGAATACTATACAAAGTTCTATTTACAAAGCCTAAAGTGTACTTAATTCTTCCCTACTAAATCAGGTCTCAATGGCCTACCCTGTTTTTTTCTCCCTACAGCAATTCTTGGCCACACAGTTAATTATGCAAACATCTGAGTCTGGGATCAGTGCTAAAAGTCTTCGAGGGAGAGATTCTACCCGTAAACAGGATGCTTCAGAGAAGGTGAGGCCATCAGGAAAGAACCTGTGTGCCAGTAGTTCCAGTAGTAGAAGTCTGAAGCATCCAAGGAACTTTATGTTACTACTTGGTATTGTTGGGCTTCTGCATTTCAATGGTATACAGACACATAGATCTTAGAATGGTGGTGGTTTTTGCCCATCTCAACACTGAATAAGCCTGCTGTGTCACATGAAATCGTGAGTAGGGCAGTTATTAATTCCTCTGGGAGAGTCCTCTCAAAGCGGGGGAAATGGCTTAGCCTGCAGCAGTTGGGGACCATCAGTTTCTGTGCTAGAGGTGTAATGGCCAGATTGCTTTTGGATCTCTTTCCTCTTGTTCTTGAGTTTTAAAATTTTGTCCTTGTGTGTATGGTGCTTGTGTCTCTGTCCTGAGGTTTGGGGTGCTTGTGGCTGAGAGTTTCTGTGGAACCTGATCAGTGTTTGTTTGTCCTCTAACAGGACAGTGTCCCAATGGGCTCTCCTGCCTTCCTTCTCTCTCTCTTTGTAAGTATTGAATGGCTGCAAGGGGTGGTGTTGCCACAGAAGATTCTCAGCTCTTAACGGGGGTGGGTGGCAGAGGGAAATCCAATGTGCAGACTGTGGCAGTATCTTGAACTTCTGTTTATTCAGGTCATTGAATAAGAACTCTTTTCTTCTGCATTCCTGTCTTTTGCATGTGTGTGTGTGTGTGGGCTGGGTAGGGACTGTTTTGAGATCACTGGACTGAAATGTATTCTTGGGGTAAAGGATCTAGGATGTACCTGCTCCTCATTTCTTGACTTTACCTTTCACCAATTTTTTTCTTACAAATTGAAGATTGCTCAGAGCAGCAGCTACTAGCTGGCTTTTTAACAGTGTTCCTCATAATGGCAGTACTCAGCACATAGTTTTTCTCTTTTAAAATTAAGTTGCAAGACTAATGTAACAAACAGTAAAATTTAAGCTAAAGAGCTCAGTACAGGCTATAATTCCAACACTTTGGGAGGCCGAGGTGGGAGGATTGCTTGAACCCAGGAGTTTGAGACCAGACTGGGCAACATAGGGAGACCCTGTCTGTACAAAATTTAAAAAGAATAACAAAAAACCCTACTAGCTGTGCAGCAGAGTGGTGTGCCCCTGTGGTCCCCAGCTACTCAGAAGGCTGAGGTAGGAGGATCACTTGGGCCCAGGAGGTCAAGGCTGCACTGTTCATACCACTGCACTCCAGCCTGGGTGACAGAGTGAGACCTTGTCTCAAAATTAAAAAAAAAGATCTCAGTAATAATGACCACTGCATTTGGGTGTGGTGGCTCACACCTGTAATCCCAGCACTTTGGGAGGCCAAGGCAGGTGGATCACCTTAGGTCCGGAGTTCGAGACCAGCCTGACCAACATGGAGAAACCCCGTCTCTACAAAAAAAAAGAATTAGCTGGGTGTGATGGCACTTGGCTATAATCCCAGCTACTCAGGAGGCTGAGGCAGGAGAATCGCTTGAACCCAGGAGGTGGAAGTTGCAGTGAGCCGACATTGCGCCATTGCAGTCCAGCCTGGGCAACAAGAATGAAACTTCATCTCAAAAAATTAAAAAAAAAAAAAAATGACCACTGCATCAATATTGGCTGCTGAAATTACGGATAAGCTGAGGAGAGCTAGCCTAAAGACTTTGATCTGTGTTGTTCATTATGGGACAATGAGGCATAATGTAATGGAAGGCATCAGGCTAGAAAACTACTTGGTCTTAAGGTCATTGGATAATCTTTTGGGGCATTGTCCTTGCTGTGTGATGAAGCTAATATAATGAGGTACTTGTCCAGCCTACCTCACAGGGATATTGTGAGTATAAAATGAGATGATATATTGAAACTGTCTTGGAAAAAAAAAAGCATTATACAAATGCAAGGTGGTATTTTTATTTTCACTGTTACCTCATGGGCAACTTATGTTCATGGACTCTAACAATTTTTGAGTCCTTGCATATTAGAAATGTAAAAATGGCCTGGCCCAGCAAAAGTTTCAGTAATTCGTCTTGCCTATAGGCCTCTCAGCCTGTACCACAGACAGAACATTATGATCTCCGTTCTTTCTTACTGGCCTGCAACAGTGACTTTGGATTCCCCAAGCAAAGCATTCGGCTGGCTGTTGCAAGGCTGGTTAATGGGATCTTTTATCTATTGAAGACAGCAAAATATTGCACAAGAGGAAGGAGCTGGGCTGCAGGGAGAGAGCAGCAGATGGAAAGAAGCCTTCTAATTGTCCTGATCTCATGGAAAACAACTGTCAGGAGGTGCTAGGGAACTAGTGCCAGGGTCAGTCTGCAGGAAAGGCCTTTCTTATAGGGACCAACAGTTGGACAGGTATGTTAGTCAAGAACCTTACTACCCACTGTCCATTCTGACTCTCCTACCTTTCTTTTACTCTCCTGTTACTTTGCACATGATTTGGGCCTGGGTGGGATGACTAATAGTTATTCTGTGGGACCCTAGGTGAATCCAAGGACCTTTGTGGTAGGCATGAGCAAGATACTCCATCCTACATTTCTTCTCATAAACAACCAGGTGTTCTTTAGCCACTCTGTGGGAAGACAGAAATATGCCCCTCATCCCTCTGGATTTTTCTGCTGATTTTCTTCTCCTCTCTCCCCTAAGAAACCAAATCCCCAACTTTTCTGTTACACCTCTCTTATCTCCTGACCAACTCATGCTCCCTTTCTTTCTCTGCCTGTCATCTAGGATGGGGGAACCAGGGGACGCCGCTGTGCCATTGAAGCAGATATGAAGATGAAAAAGTGAAGCCTCAGAGTACCCTCTTTGAGCTGAACCTAAAATAAAAGTAAACAAGATAGAGCTTGGGCTTGCGGGCCCAGTTCTGGAAGTGGAAGCTACAGAAGAGGAGATACCTGGGCCGCTTGACATGAGCTGGAAAATCTCTCTCAGAGAGTTGGAGTAGCACAATTGCCTGTTTTAGGGCAGAAATCATGGGCTTTGTTAATGTCCTAATGTGTAGCTAGCAGATTGTAGCTAGTTTGTATTGTCAATTGTACAGACTTCTTTAAAAAAAAAAACAACAACTGTGAAATTTGTATGTATACAATAAACCAGGAAAAACAAAAACAAAAAAACCTCTAGCCGTTGGCTTGGGGTATGTGTGTATTTGAAACTTGTGGTTTCTTCTGCATAACTGTTTTGTTTGTGGAAATGAGACTGTAAGATTGTTAGAGGGGAAAAGTGGTCTTATGCTGTGAGAAGGTAAGTAACCAAAACAGTTTCTAGTTAATATACCTTAAAGTGTTGCATTGTGCAGGAAAGACTACCTTATTTAGACTTTCTTGAATGTTTGGGAAAAGTAAGGTTTTCAGAATTTTGTTCATGGCATTGCTTAAACTAGAGCATGGACATAGGTAACATTGACCTTTATCTCAGGAACATTTGTCCCAATGGTATTTCTAGGATAATGTGTTACCATTTGTTTCCCTGTTTCTATGGTTAAGGACTCTGTACAAAGAGTTCTTCGTGGCCAGGTGCAGTGGCTCATGCCTGTAATCCCAGCACTTTGAGAGGCCAAGGCGGGCGGATCACAAGGTCAGGCATTTGAGACTAGCCTGACCAACATAGTGAAACCCTGTCTCTAATAAAAATAAAAAAATTAGAGGCCGGGCGCGGTGGCTCAAGCCTGTAATCCCAGCACTTTGGGAGGCCGAGGCAGGTGGATCACGAGGTCAAGAGATCGAGACCATCCTGGTCAACATAGTGAAACCGCCTCTCTACTAAAAATACAAAAAACTAGCTGGGTATGGTGGTGCGTGCCTGTAATCCCAGCTACTCAGGAGGCTGAGGCAGGAGAATTGCCTGAACCCAGGAGGCGGAGGTTGCGGTGAGCCGAGATTGTGCCATTGCACTCCAGCCTGGGTAACGAGTGAAACTCCGTCTCAAAAAAAATAAGTAAAATAAAAATAAAAAAATTAGCTGGGCATGGTGGGGCGTGCCTGTAATCCCAGCTACTCAGGAGGCTGAGGCAGGAGGCGGAGGTTGCAGTGAGCCAAGGTTGCACTAGTGTGCTCCAGCCTAGGTGACAGAGTGAGACTCCATCTCAAAAGTTACTGGTCAGGTGTGGTGGCTTACACCTGTAATCCCAACACTTAAGGAGGCTGAGGTGGAAGGATTGCTTGAGCCCAGGAATTCGAGACCAGTCTGGGCAACAAAGTGAGACCCTGCCTCTCAAAAAAAAAAAAAAAAAAAAAATTAGCCCAGCATGGTATGCACCTGTAGTCCCAGGGACTCAGGAAGCTGAGGCTGGAGGATCTCTTGAGCCACGGAATTCAAAGTTGCAATGAGCGGTAATTGCACCACTGCACTCCAGCCTGGGTGACAGAATGAGACCCGTAAACAATTAAATAGTCTGGGTGTGGTGGCTCATGCTTGTAATCCCAGCATTTTGGTAGGCTAAGGCAGGTGGATCACGAGGTCAGCAGTTCCAGACCAACTTGGCCAAGATGGTAAAACTCTGTCTCTACTAAAAATACAGAAAGCCAGGAATGGTGGCAGATGCCTGTAATCCAGCTATTCAGGAGGCTGAGGCAGAGAATTGCTTGAACTTGTGCAGTGAGACTCTGTCTCTGAAAAAAAAGTTTTAAACATTGCTGTTTGAAGGCTAACCCCAGTTTTAAGAATTACTAAAATTGGCCAGGCACAGTGGCTCACACTTGTAATCCCAACAGTTTGTGAGGCCAGCACAGGAAGATCACTTGAGCCCAGGACATCAAGACCAGCCTGGGCAACATAGCAAGACCTTGTCTCTACAAATAAATTAGCCAAGTGTGGTGGCACGCACCTGTGGTCCCAGCTACATTAGCAGCTGAGGTGGGAGGATCATGACCCTGGCTGGTGGAGGCTGCAGTGAGCTGAGATCATGCCCCTGCACTCCAGCCTGGGTGACAACCCCAAAATTAAAAATCTCAGTTCTATTCCAACTTCTCTTAATAACTAAACTTTTTGTTTGTTTAGCTATGAGCCACTGCACCTGGCTAATTAAACGTTTTTAAAACTCATTAGTGAAATGAAACAGTGTCGGGTGCAGTGGCTCACGCCTGTAATCCCAGCACTTTTGGGAGGCGGAGGCGGGCAGATCACCTGATGTCAGTAGTTTGAGACTAGCCTGGCCAACGTGGTGAAACCCCATCTTTACTAAAAATACAAAATATTAGCCAGGTGTTGTGGCAGGCGCCTGTAATCCCGGTTACATGGGAGGTTGAGGCAGGAGAATTGAGGCAGAATTGCTTGAACCTGGGAGTCAGAGGTTGCAGTGAGCTGAGATCGAGTCACTGCACTCCAGTCCGGTGACAGAGCAAGCCTGCATCTCAAAAAAAAAAAAAAAAACCAAAAAACCGGGTATGGTGGCTCACGCCTATAATCCTAGCACTTTGGGAAGCTGAGGTGGGCGGTTGACAAGGTCAAGAGATCAAGACCATTCTGACCAACATGGTGAAACACCGTCTCTACTAAAAATACAAAAATTAACTGGGTGTGGTGGTGATTCTCGCGTGTAGTTCCAACTACTTGGGAGGCTGAGGCAGGAGAATCACTTGAACCCAGGAGGCAGAGATTGCAATTAGCCGAGATCGCACCACTACACTCCAGCCTGGCAACAGAGTGACACTCCGTCTCAAAAAATAAAATTATGAGCTTTTTTTCTAAACAGATGGTGGCTATGATGAAAAAATGAGTATTAGATAAATATCAGTTTATAACAAAATAAATAGATATGTTACACTGGAGCAAGTTTAATAGTCTAAGCCTTCTTGAGAAAGGGGTTTAAGAGGATACAATTAGAAGTCACAGATCAGTTGAGCGCGGTGGCTCACGCCTATAATCCCAGCACTTTGGGAGGCTGAGGCGGGCAGATCACCTGAGGGTGGGAGTTCGAGACCAACTTGACCAACATGGAAAAACCCCATCTCTACTAAAAATACAAAATTAGCCAAGCTTGGTGGCGGGCACCTGTAATCCCAGTTACTCAGGAGGCTGAGGCAGGAGAATTGCTTGAACCTGGGAGGCAGAGGTTGCAGTGAGCCAAGATCTCGCGAATGCACTCCAGCCTGGACAACAAAAGCGAAACTCTGTCTCAAAAAAAGAAAGAAAAAAAAAAAAGAGAAGAAGAAGTAAAGGTGGAGAGATTTGAGAGGCACCTGAATAGAGGTCAAAGTTGAAACCTCAAAGTATATATACATTTTAAAAATACATTCATAAGAAAGCAGAGGACCAAGCAGGAGCACAGAAGACAGGGATTTATTGAAAGTTGTAAAAGGGAGACGACAAAGAAAGGTGTAAGAAAACCAAGATAGTGGTGGAATGAGAGCACAGGAAGATATTTTTAAGCTTGATGTTTCTCAGTGTCAAGTTGAATATGACCAGAAGGATGCCAAAGGCAATTCTAAAGTGTGTTTTGAAGATTTAATGGTCCATGGGTTAAAAATGTGTATACACTGAGGAAAATATCCCTTGTCCCCTCAAGTTTTTTGCCTTATGGTTTAATTATGGATGATTTGGGCTAGAGGAAAATGATTGAGCTAGCTATGCTCCAGTTCTTTCCCTTCTTTTGGCATGAGCATGAGGAATTCTAAGTAAAAATAATTATTAGATAATATTAATATCTCTATTATACCATATTGTATGGTATAATATCTCTATTATACATGGGGCTTTTTCTGTATTGCCAAAGATAAAGATCATTTCATCTCATGTCTCCCTTCAGCTAGTTTTTAATTCTTCCTAATGATGAATACTTGAATACAAAGAAATTTCTGGCCTCTCATTTTTCTGCTGAACTCAGGAGATGGAGGTGCCTCAGGAATATTTATTTGAATGAATTTAATGCATTTTTCCTGTGTATTTACAGATGAGACATGAGTGGGTTTGGCTGGATTCTGATCAAGATTATCCCAACGACTCTGAGTTGAGCAATGACTGCAAATCCCTCTTCAGCTCATGGGACTCCAGTCAGGATCTTGATGTGGGCATCTGGAGGGAAACTGAGGATCCAGAGGCTGAGGAACTAGAGGAAAGCAGCCCAGGGAGAGAAACTAGTGAACTGCTTGTTGGGGATAGAGACAGTGAAGAATCTCAGGAAGAGGCAAAGCAAGCCAGCCACCAGAACTTCCTCCACTTTCTCTCTGAGGTAACTGTGAGCTGTTATTTCCAAAGCTGGAGGCCTCAACTTTCTAAGAGAATGCTTATCCTTACATGCTTCTACCACTTTTAATATTGTTTACTAAAATATAAACTTCACAGTGGCAGGGACTAAGTTCATTGCTGAGTCCCCAGCACTTTGTGCCGATAGAGAATATGCACCAAATACATGCATTTTGGGCTGGGTGCAGTGGTTGACACCTGTAATCCCAGCACTTTGGGAACCCAAGGCCGGTGGATCACTTGAGGTCAGGAGTTTGAGACCACCCTGGCCAACATGGTAAAACCCCGTTTCTACTAAAAATACAAAAATTATCTGGGCATGGTGGCATGCACCTGTAATCCCAACTAGGCAGGAGGCTAAGGTGGGAGAAACAGTTGAATCCCGGAGCAGAGGTTGCAGTGAGCCAACATCACACTACTGCACTCCAGCCTGGGCAACAGAGTGAGACTCTGTCTCAAAAATAAAAAATAAATACGTGCTTTTTGACTGAATTTCTAATACCTCAGTCACTAGGGGCTTGGGTCATAAGGACTGCTTTATGAGTATCCTTGTAATTCATGCTTTTGGAGTTGTGGGAAGTCATACTTGCCCAAATTTTCCTTGAAGCTTAAAGTGTTGTGACTTTAAGGTAGTATTTTAAAGTCATTACCTTGTTAAGGACTGAGGACCGGAAATAAACAGAATTGGACAGAGAGTTACATATATGCTGTTACTGAACACATTTAGGAGAACTTAGGTCAAGATCAGCAAGCATCCAGTTCAAACGTTACCACTTCTCTCTACAGTGTCTGTGGTAGACAAAATTTTCAACACTTTATTCTAGACAGCCACTGTCTTTTTTTTTTTTTTAGACAGCCAGTCTCAATTGATCAGAGTTGACATTTGAGATGAAAAATTAGAACATAGGCTAGGCACAGGGGCTTATGCCTGTAATCCCAGCATTTTGGGAGGCCAAGGTAAGTGGATCACCTGAGGTCAGGAGTTCAATACCAGCCTGGACAACGTGGTAAAACCCCATCTCTACTAAAAATACAAAAATTAGCAGTTGCCTGTAATCCCAGCCACTTGGGAGGCTGAGGCAGGAGAATCACTTGAACCCGGGAGGCGAAGTTTGCAGTTGGCATGTCATTGCACTCCAACCTGGGCAGCAAGAGCAAAACTCCATCTCAAAAAAAAAAAAAAAAAAATTAGAACATAAACTCCTGGAAGAGGCAAGGACCATGTCTTTCTTATTCACTATAACGTCCCCCCACCAACTAGCCCAGTGCCTGTGTATATATTTGACAGATTTTAAATGATTGAATTAATTAAGCTATTTTGTCCTCTCAGACTTAGTGACTGTGACAGTGTTAGCGTGTGGCATTGTTGATATGTGGATGATTTTCACTGGTGTTCCTGTGCATCTAATAATAAACTTTGATTGCAGGTAGCTTACTTAATGGAGCCCTTGTGCATTAGCAGCAATGAATCAAGTGAAGGCTGCTGCCCTCCATCTGGTACCAGACAAGAAGGATGGGAAATTAAAGCTAGTGAAGGAGAAAGGGAGCTCTGCAGAGACACTGAAGAGCTTTTAGCCAAGGGAGACCTCTTAGTAGCTGAAAAGCCACTGGGAGAAAATGGAAAGCCAGAAGTGGCTTCAGCTCCCTCAGATATTTGTGCAGTTCAGGGACCACCCACAGGGAGTGAAGAGGTAAGCAAGAAACTTCAATCAGCTGTCTCGTAGTCTTCTGCCCGGGGAAGCAGAACAGAGTGATTAGAGCATGTAGGCTAAATCCGGAAAGTTAAACTACCTGGATCCAAATTCTGGATTTAGCACTAGTTTTAGCTGTGTGACCTTAAGCATGTTAGTGAACATTTTAGAACTCCAATTTTTTCTGCAGAAATGTAATCATAGCACTCTATTTTGAGGGTTTGCTGTGAGGTTTAAATGAGACAATTTATATAAAGCACTTAGCACAGTGCATGGCTTATAGTAAGCAATCAGTAAAATTTAGAATACCATCATTATTATTACTATTATCTGGCAGGTGGGTGCAGTGCCTCGTGCCTGTAATCCCAGTGATTTGGGAGGCTGAGGCAGGAGGATCTCTTGAGCTCAGGAGTTCAAGACCAGCCTGGACAATACACGGAGACACTGTCTCTACAAAAATTTTTTTTAAAAAATAAGCCAGGGCCGGGCGCGGTGGCTCAAGCCTGTAATCCCAGCACTTTGGGAGGCCGAGGCGGGTGGATCACGAGGTCAACAGATCGAGACCATCCTGGTCAACATGGTGAAACCCCGTCTCTACTAAAAATACGAAAAATTAGCTGGGCATGGTGGCGTGTGCCTGTAATCCCAGCTACTCAGGAGGCTGAGACAGGAGAATTGCCTGAACCCAGGAGGCGGAGGTTGCGGTGAGCCGAGATCGCGCCATTGCACTCCAGCCTGGGTAACAAGAGCGAAACACTGTCTCAAAAAAAAAAAAAAAAAAATAAGCCAGGTATGGTGGCATGTACCTGTAGTTTTAGCTACTTGGGAGTCTCAAGGGGGGCCCAGAGTTAGAGGCTGCAGTAAGCCATGATGATGCCACTGCACTCCAGCCTGGGCAACAGAGTGAGACCCTGTCTCAAAAAACAAAATTACCTGGCTAGCTAGAGTAGTTAACTCCAGGGCCACAGGTGATCATGATGGTTTTTAAACAATCCAGTGAGAATTGAGCAAATAATCCTTTTCCGTTCGGGTGGAGGTGGGTGGCACAGAGTCAAGGTCCTCCAGCAAGATTGTTAATAAGAGCTCATTGACTTAGGTCTCGTTAAGTCAGCTTTCTTTAATTTTTTTTGTAGCTTTATATACTTGACCTCTTCTCACCTTAAGGGCAGCCTTCATTTACTCTATGCAAGTAAAATGATTGTGCAGGTAGTAAATCTCTTTCTAAAGGTTCCTGTGTCTCCTGTCATTCCCAGGGGGAGGCTCAGCAAGAATCCAAAGGGGAGGATCAGGGTGAAGTATATGTGTCAGAGATGGAAGATCAGCCCCCTTCAGGCGAGAGTGATGATGCCTTTAACATTAAGGAGACTCCCTTGGTGGATGTATTTTTCAGCCGTGCTACCTCCTCAAAGCTGTAAGCATAGACTTTCATCCAAGTTTGTTAAGATTCATACTTCTACTTCTGTTTATGCCTATTTGAATCATGAAATGGATTACTTTTATAAGTTAAAGAAAATTAGAGTTGGAAAACACACAAAAATAGAATTAAATATAATTTAAACACCATATAAATAGAAGTCTATATGCTCTCTTGTTATAAAACAAATCTGTTTCATCAACATTAGGACTAAAACAACTCTGTTTCATCAACATTAGGACTGTCTTTCAAGACCAGGTGTGGTGTCTCACACCTGTAATTTCAGCACTTTGGGAGGCCAAGGCGGGAAGATCCCTTGATCCCAGGACTTCGAGACAAGCCTGGGCAACAGAGGGAGACCCTGCCTCTACAAAACAAAAATAAAAATAAAAAAAAATAGTCACATATGGTGTCACTTGCCTATAGTCTCAGCTATTCTGGAGGCTGAGGTGGGAGGATCACTTGAAGGTCAAGGCTGCAGTGAGCCATGATTGTGCCACTGTACTTTAGCCTAGTCTGTATCATTCCAGCCTGGGTGATAGAGCTAATATTATACAAACTATTCCTAATATACAAACTATGCTGCTTTTTTTTTTTTTTGAGACGGAGTCTTGCCCTGTCACCCAGGCTGTGGTACAGTGGCTGGATCTTGGTTCACTGCAATCTCTGCCTCCTGGGTTCAAGCAATTCTCCTGTCTCAGCCTCACAAGTAGCTGGGACTACAGGGGTGTGCTACCACATCCAGTTTTTTTTTTTTTTTTTTTTGTATTTTTAGTAGATAATGGGGTTTCACCATGTCGGCCAGGATGTCTCTATTTCCTGCCCTCATGATCCACCTGTCTTGGCCTCCCAAAGTGCTGGGATTACAGGCGTGAGCAACCTCGCCTGGCCTTCTTTTTTTTTTTTTTAAATAGACCCAGGGTCTAGCTCCATCACCCAGGCTGGAATGCAGTGGGCACAATCATGATTCTCTGCAGCCTTGACTTCCTAGACTCAAGGGATCCAGCTACCTCAAGCTTCCAGATTGCTGGGACTACAGGCATGGGCCACCACAACCAGCTGATGTTTTATTTTTTGTAGACCATGTTGCCCAGGCTTGTCTCGAACCCCTGGTTTCAAGTGATCCTCCTGCCTCAGCTTCCTAAAGTGTTGGGATTACAGGTATGAGCCACTGTGCCTGGCCCAAACAATACCTCTTTTAAAAATATTAAAATAGCTTTTATGAACTTGAAATGGAAAATTATTTTTATGTAGAAGAAATATTTTTTAAAGGAAAAAAATTAGGCCAGGTGTGGTGGCTCATAACTGTAATCTCAGCACTTTAGGAAGCTGAGGCAGGAGGATTGCTTGAGCTCAGGATTTTGAGACTAGCCTGGGTAACATAGTGAAACCTCATCTTTACAAAAAGTAAACAAAATTAACTGGGTGTGGTGGCATGCACCTATAGTCCCAGCTATACAGGAGGCCAAGGCAGGGAGGATTGCTTGAATTCAGGAGGTGAAGGTTACAGTGGGTTATGATCATATCACTGCCCAGCCTGAATAACAGAGCAAGACCCTGTCTCAAGAAACAAAACAAGAAAAAAAAGAAAAGAAAAACATTATTTTGAAGTTTGTGATCTTTGTTTTTCTTTCATGTATTTTAGGGAATTGTTTATATCAAACTTGTCTAATCCCCAGCCTGCAGCCCAGGACAGCTTTGAATGCAGCCCAACACAAATTCTTAAAACATTATGAGATTTATGCACAGACTTTTTTTTTTTTTTTAGCTCATTAGCCATCATTAGTGTATTTTATGTGTGGTACAAGACAATTCTTATTCTGCCAATGCAGCCCAGGGAAGCCAAAAGATTGGACAACTCTGGTTTATATAATTGTCTCATCTTTGTGTAGATAATTATAGGAATAAAGAACACATTTTAAAATCTTTTTTTTCTTCTTTTTCCTTTTTTTATCTTTTTTTTTTTTTTTTTAAACCAACGCAGTATCTTTTAACTTCAAACATTTTAAAATCTTAATGGGGAGGGCTTTTTTTTTTTAAAAACAGGAAACAAAAAAATCTTAATTTTTTTTTTTTTTGAGATAGGATCTCACTCTGTTGCCTACGCTGGAGTACAGTGGTGGCATGATCTTGGCTCACTACAGCCTCCACCTCCTGGGCTCAGGTGATCCTCTCACCTCAGCCTCCTGAATGGCTGGGAACACAGATGTGCACCACCATACCCAGCTGATTTTTTTGTATTTTTGGTAGAGAAAGGGTTTCATCACATTGCCTAGACTGATCTTGAACTCCTGGACTCAAGTGATCCACCTACCTTGGCCTCCCAAAGTCCTGAGATTACAGGTACGAACCACTGTGTCCAGCCTGAAGTGAATTACTTTTTTTTTTTTTTTGAGACAGCGTCTCACTCTGCTGCCAGGTGCCAGGCTGGAGTGCAGTGGCACAATCTCGGCTCACTGCAACCTCTGCCTCCCAGTTCAAGCAATTCTCCTGCCTTAGCCTCCTGAGTAGCTGGGACTACAGGTGCACACCACCAGGCCCAGCTAATTTTTGTATTTTCAGTAGAGACAGGGTTTCACCATGTTGGCCAGGATGGTCTTGATCTCTTGACCTCGTGATGCGCCCGCCTCGGCCTCCCAAAGTGCTGGGATTACAGGCTTGAGCCACCGCTCCCGGCCACGAATTACTTTTTAAAGCAGAAAAACATGGAGGCCAAGACCGGCAGATCACCTGAGGTTGGGAGTTCAAGACCAGCCTTACCAACATGGTGAAACCCCGTCTTTATTTTTTAAAAATAAAATAAAATTAAAAATAAAAACAAAGTTGCTTTTATCTGTGACTCCTGGCCTCAAGCGATTCTCCCGCCTCAGCCTCTCAAAGTGCTGAGATTACAGGCATGAGCCACTACACACAGCTAAGTAAGTTACTTTTACTCCGGTAATAAATAGTCTTTTTCTGGACAATGTCAGATCCACCTACTGAGAGAATATAGTATGAACTGTTTGTTTTTTCCATCACTATATCCCAGATCCACCCAGTTGTCTGTGGAAAGGCAAAACTAACAATTATTCTAATGTTTTTTCATTTAAGATATACAGCAGATATATAAATATATACCAGATAAATATATCTATTCATATATATCAGATAAATATATATTTATATATAACAGATAAATTTATATATAAATAACAGATAAATGTTATATATATAACTATATTGTATACAATATATACAGTTTGAACAGCAGATTTATCTGTTATTATATATAATTTTATCTGTTATATATAAATATATAAATTTATCTGTTATATATAAATATAACAGATAACAAACTATATATATTATATATATATAGTTTGAACAGCAGATTTATCTATTTATTTTTCCCCGTAGAGACAGGGTCTTCCTTTGTTGCCCAGGCTGGGTTTTGAACTCTTGGCTTAAAGCAATCCCACCTCAACCTTCCAAAGTGCTGGGATTACAGGCCTGAGTCACTGTGCCCAGCCTAGATTTCAATTTTTGGTACACATATAGTTTAAAATGTAGATTGGTGAGGAATACCTTCATTTGCTTTTCTGTAACTCCTTAAGTATGAGCAATAGAGTGCTGACATGACACATTGTGACCGTACAAACAGCAGGAAATCTGCAATATGAGACATTTTATCTCATGATAGTTAATAGTCTTGGATGGTAAACTCTACATCCTTATCTTAGAATTTAGATTAAATATGAAATCTTTATTAGAAAGCAGTAGCTATCCAGCCTGAGCAACATAATGGGACCTTGTCTCTACAACAAATACTGAAATTAGCTGCAGGGTGTGGTGGCATGTGCCTGTAGTTCCAGCTACTTAGAGGCTAAGGCAGGGGGATCACTTGAACCCAGCAGGTTGAGGCTGCAGTGAGCCATGATCACACTACTGTACTCCAGCCTGGGCAACAGAACAAGACCCTCTATCAAAAAAAAAAAAAAAAATTGGCTGGGTGTGGTGGCTCGTGCCTGTAATCCCAGCACTTTGAAAGGCTGAGGTGGGTGGATCACTTGAGGCCAGGAGTTTGAGACTCGCCTGGCCAATGTGGCAAAACCCCGTCTCTATGAAAAATACAAAAATGAGTTGGGCATGGTGGTGCGTACCTGTACTCCTAGCTACTTGGGAGGCTGAGGCAGGAGAATCACTTGAACCGGGAGGTGGAGGTTGCAGTGAGCTGAGATCATGCCACTACACTCCAGTCTTGGCAACAGAGCAAGAATCAGTCTCAAGAAAATAAAATTTAAAAATTAAAAGAGAAAGCAATAGTTATTAATAGATATTAATAACTAAGTCTGCTTGGCCAGATAACTTAAGGAGAGATTTTTGAAAACTTCAGATAATTGGGTGCATGTCTTAAGAAAACCTCAGACCGGGCGCGGTGGCTCAAGCCTGTAATCCCAGCACTTTGGGAGGCCGAGGCGGGTGGATCACGAGGTCAAGAGATCGAGACCATCCTGGTCAATATGGTGAAACCCCGTCTCTACTAAAAATACAAAAAATTAGCTGGGCACGGTGGCGCGTGCCTATAATCCCAGCTACTCAGGAGGCTGAGGCAGGAGAATTGCCTGAACCCAGGAGGCGGAGGTTGCGGTGAGCCGAGATCGCGCCATTGCACTCCAGCCTGAGTAACAAGAGCGAAACTCCGTCTCAAAAAAGAAAAGAAAAGAAAACCTCATTACCCACCTGGGGAGACAGAATATTATTTGTGAAGTTACTGTCTCTTTTCTGTCATGTTTTATCCCATAGGACTGATCTAAGCCAGGATGACCCTGTTCAGGATCATTTGCTATTTAAGAAGACTCTCCTGCCAGTCTGGAAGATGATTGCCAGTCACAGGTAGGTCTCCAAAATGGTGATAGGATTATGTTCAGAACTGAAGCAGTAATACATATTGGGTTTTAAGCATAAAAAGAGATATGTTCATACCTCAAATGAGCCATAGTTGAAAGGTAGATTCTGTATCTAAGCCTGATTTATCCCAAAGTACTCACAGCTGCTTTAAGTCAGTACAAGAAATAGTTGCTGTGCCATTTGAATTGCCTCTAGAAATTGGTTCCTACTTCATGATAAAATTTGTATTTAAAATGTATATTCTTCTTTTCAATCTGGTGGATTCTCTTTTTTCACAGAGACAAGGCCTCAGGAACTTTGAACAAATTTCTGAGCCCTAAATCAGTATATTGTAATAATAGTTAAATATTTTATAGTTTTTTTTAAACTCTCTATCAAGAGGGAACAAATAGATTTCTTTCTAATGGTGCTCACATTCTGCATTCTGCAAAAGGAAGTCTACTAAGAACTGAGCTTCTCTTCTCTTTTAGAAAACCTTACCAGGGTTTCTTTATCCTCTCTGGGTTTGTCCCTTAACAGATTCAGCAGTCCATTTCTGAAGCCTGTGTCAGAAAGGCAGGCCCCAGGGTACAAGGATGTGGTAAAAAGGTCAGTGAAAAAGGGGTCGAGAAAGTTTGGTTGCTTTTATATCTGCCTTTTCATTTTTTATTTCCCATCTGTTATTTTTTATTACTTATAAACTCAAGATATGTTTTCATAGCCAAATAAGTTTATAAAGTTATGATGAGCTCAGTATTATATCCTTATTTGAGAAGGAATGCAGGGAACAAAAGGATGATATAGATTTATTTATTTATTTTATATTATTGACTTTTAAGTCATATGATCCATTTATCCATATCTATCTCTATTTATCTATGTGTATATATATATGTGTGTATGTGTGTGTGTATATATATATATATATATATATTTTTTTTTTTTTTTTTTTTGAGATGGAGTTTTGCTCTTGTTGCTCAGGCTGGAGTACAATAGTGCGATCTCTGCCCATTGCAACCTCTGCCTCCTGGGTTCAAGCGATTCTCTTGCCTAAGCCTCCCGATTAGCTGGGATTACAGGCATGCGCCACCCTACCCGATTAATTTTGTATTTTTAGTAGAGATGGGGTTTCTCCATGTTGGTCAGGCTGGTCTCCAACTCTCAACCTCAAGTAATCCACCCACCTTGGCCTCCCAAAGTGCTGGGATTACAGGCATGAGCCACCACCACACCCAGCCTTTTTTTTTTTTTTTTTTTTTGGACAGTGTCTCACTCTGCGAGGCTGGAGTGCAGTGGTACAATCTTGGCTCACTGCAACATCTGCTTCCCAAGCTCAATGATTCTCCAGCCTCAGCCTCCCAAGTAGCTAAGACTACAAGCAAGAGCCACCACATCTGGCTAATATTTGTATTTTTTGTAGAAACAGAGTTTTGCCATGTTGCCCAGGCTGGTCTTGAACTCCTGAGCTCAAGCAATCCACCTGCATACGCCTTCCAAAGTGCTGGGATTACAGGCATGAGCCTTGGTGCCTAGGCTGATCATTAATTATGATCTTAAATTGGCCTTTGGTTGTTTTTGACACTATTCTTTTGGAGCAAAACTTTAAAAGGAACCCTGTATGCATAGGTATACTAAGGCACAGATGTCAATCCAAATGGAAGTTATGAACATTGGTTGATGTAGTATTTTGGAATTTTATTTTTATTAAAAAAATTTTTTTTGAGACAGAGTCTCACTCTGTTGCTGGAGTACAGTGGTGAAATCATGGCTCACTGCAGCCTTGACCTCCTGGGTCAAGCAGTCCTCCCACCTCAACTTCCCTAGTAGCTGGGACTACAGGTGTGTGCCACCATGCCCAGCTAATTTTTGTGTTTTTTGTAGAGACAGAGTTTCACCATGGTGCTCAGGCTGGTCTCAAACTCCTGGCCTCAAGCAAACCACTCGCCTCAGCCTCCCAAAGTGCTACGATTATAGGTGTGAACCACTGTGCCTGGCCTGATTTTTTTTGTATTGTAATAAAATTCTTCTTTGTTTGGAATGTTATTAATAACTTTATTTTTCTTCATAATATCACTGAGGAGGAATTTTTAAATTTTTTGTAGATATGGGATCTCACTACATTGCCCAGGTTGGTCTTAAACTCCTAGTCTCAAGTGATCCTCCCACCTCAGCCTTCCAAAATGCTGGGATTACAGGTGGGTAATCCCAGCCTATTTTGGATTTTATAGCACAGGACATCTAAAATGCTATCATAAACTTGTGTGGTAATAGAGTATAAAAGATCACGATAGGACCTTGGAGAGTCACTTGTCTGTTTGTGCTGCTATAGCACAATACTGTAGGCTGGATAATTTATAAACAATAGAAAATTTATTTCTCTTTGTTTCGATTCTGGAGGCTGGGAAGTCCAAGATCAAGGCACTGGTAGTTTTGGTGTCTGAGGTGGGTTACTCTCTGCTTTCCAAGATAATGCCTTGTTGCTGTATCCTCATATGGCAGAAGGGACAGAAGGGTAAGAGGGTGATCTCTTCGATATGGAGCCCCCTTTTTCTTTGATATGGAGCCCTTTTATAAGGATGCTAATTCCATTCATAAGACTAGAGCACTAATGACTTAATTACCTCCCAAAGGGCCCACCTCTTACTACTGTTGCATTTGGGATTAAGTTTCAACATGAATTTCAGAGGGGATACCATCATTCAAACAGTAGCAGAGACAAACTTCTTTAGGAACAAGGAAAGTAAAGCTTAGGGGTGCTCGGTCATGACTTGCCTGTGATCAACCAACAGTTAATAGCAGAGCTAGAACTAAGCCCCAGATTCTTACCTCCGGTTCAGTCTTCTTTCTAAACTGCTGTGCCTTCTCTTATACATCTACTTTCTCTGTCTCATTAATGTTGTCATAATGTTCACTTGATCCTCTTTTCATCTACATGAAAAAAGAAAAAATTATTCTTAGTTTTTTATTTGCGCAGTAAGAGAAGCAGATTAAATAATTTGTGACTGTACCTTGTAAATAGTGAATAACTACTGTGTGATAAACTGATAATTGGCACTTTTAAACTTTGGTACCTGGGGCCAGCACCACTCCTATGATAGTAGAGTGTAGTGGCTTGGCCTGTGCACTCTGGAGTCAGGCTGCCTCTGAATTGGAATTTAGGCTGTGTGCCTTTGAGTAAGTACTTAACCTTTTTAGATTTCAGTTTCTTCATCTGTCAAATGGAGATAATAAGGCTGGGCTCAGTGGCTCATACTTGTAATCCTAGCACTTTGGGAGGCCAAGGCACGTGGATCACCTGAGGTCAGGAGTTCAAGACCAGCCTGACTAACATGATAAAACCCCGTCTCTACTAAAAATACAAAAATTAACCAGGCATGATGGCACGTGCCTGTAATCCCAGCTACTCAGGTGGGTGAGGCAAGAGAATTGCTTGAACCCAGGAGGTGGAGGTTGCAGTGAGCCAAGATTGTGACACCGCACTCCAGCCTGGGCAACAAGAGTGAAACTCTGTCTCAAAAAAAAAAAAAAAAAAAAAAAAAAGGAGATAATAATGATACCTACCTTACAGGTTTATTGAGAGGATTAAGTGAGTTAGTACAGAAATACAGTGTTTGGCCTATTGTAAACAGGGAAATGTTAACGGCTGTTGCTATTTTATTATCTGATGGGGGTTGTTATCTTTGCTACCGTTTTCATTAAGAACTGGTTAGTTCTTCAAGAGAGCATGTCAGGTTATCATATGTTCCACACAAAGATTTGATTTTCTGTTTTTTCTTGGCCACCTGCAGACCTATGGACTTAACTACCCTGAAGAGAAATCTCTCTAAGGGTCGGATTCGCACCGTGGCCCAATTCCAGCGAGATCTGATGCTGATGTTCCAAAATGCTGTAATGTACAATGACTCTGATCATCACATATACCATATGGCTGTGGAAATGCGGCGAGAAGTCTTGGAGCAGATTCAGGTACAGTATGTAGAGAGAGAGCTGTAGCCTCTGGAATCTTGATTTCAGAATGTCTATGAAAATAAAGGTGATTTTAATGTGACTTTGCGTTCTCAGAGTTTATTTTTAATTTAATTAATTATTTTTTTTGAGACAGAGTCTCGCCCTGTCACCCAGGCTGGGGTGCAATGGCATGAACTTGGGTCACTGCAACCTCTGCTTCCCAGGTTCAAGCCATTCACCTGCCTGAGCCTCCTGAGTAGCTGGAATTACCAGGCCTGGCTGATTTTTTGCCTCTTTAGTACAGACAGAGTTTCACCATGTTGGCCAGGGTGGTCTTGAACTCCTAACCTGGTGATCTGCTCGCCTCGGCCTCCCAAAGTGCTGGGATTACAGATGTGGGCCACTGTGCCCGGCCTCTCAGAGTTTATTTTTAAAGGTGATTAAGGCCCTGAAGGATTGATAATCTGCCTGCTGGTTTGGAAAACCCTGAGCCTCAGTAAGTCCAGCTTTGATAGTGAAGTAGTCTAGGAATGCAGGCAGCAGTGAAGAGCTCTCAAGACAGCTGAGGACAGATAAGTAATGGGAATTCCTGCTTCCAGAGCCTTAAGTCAATGGGCTAAACTCCAAAGAGGCCAGAGTCACTGTGTAGTTTTTGGTTGCTTTATCTGTTGATATTAATATATGCTCACACTTTCCCATCTCTAGGGAGTAAGATACAGTAGCTAGAATACATTTGTGGGTTTCTTTTCTAGGTAGCATCATACTTTAAAGAAAAAAAGTATAGTTGAGTCTATTTGCCAAAGAAATAAACTTGCAATCCTTTAGCATGTAAGTTTCATAATAGCTTGCTATGTGTTCCTTAACCCTTTAGGTGCTGAATGTTTGGTTAGACAAAAGACAAGGCTCAAGTAGTCTGGAAGGAGAACCAGCCAACCCAGTGGATGATGGAAAACCTATTTTGTAACGTGGAGCTTCTAGCCTGACTTTTCTAGAGTTTGAAACCTCTCCCTGAACTCTGACCTAGAGAGGATCCCAGTACTTCTTTGCCATGTCTCTGTTGTCTTTTCCAATAAGAATATCCCTACCTCACTCAATGATACATGTGGACATAATATAAGGAAAAACAGGGGAAGCTGAGATTTGGGTTTAATGCCATAAATGTTGCATACATCTTTGTTCCACGGGCTTGATTTAAAGACAATTAGATTAGATCTTTTACTAAGCCTTTTACTCTAATAAATAAATGTCTTTTCACAAACAGAATATTGCTTTTTAATGACTAGGTAAGCTTGGCATAGAGGGGACAGCATCATCCGGTCAAATGAAGGTATCTGACACGGGTCTTACATACACTGCCTGGAAAGGAATCTGGGAGGTGGGGTGGTCTTATCATTTATAAAGTAGGGATAATTGAAGAACAGGATGAAATAACATAAGTTGTGAGTAAAATGTCAGAAAATATCTAGTGCCCTAAGATTCACAAGGAGAATAAAGATGACTACCTGGCTCGCTTTGGTTAAAACAACTTGCCAGAGGCTGCAAGGAGGTTCCTTGCTGGGATTGGCCCTCTGCAGCCACCGTCCCCACGCTGGGGCTTCAGGTCTCCTAGCAACAAATTGAACTCACCAGGGCGGCCGCTGAGGTGAGTGCTCAGAGAGGGTCAAATTCAGAATTTTCAGGTGCAACCCGGAAAGTCCCAGAGGACCCAGAGGCCCTGCTTTCCAATTAGGCCTGACCCTATGCACAGAGAGGTCCCTGCGGGACAGGGTTGCTTCACAGAGGCAGCCGGAAGAGGCCGCTCACCCGCCGCTGTATTGGCGTGTGATGTTGCCACCAGCCCGCCGCCCCCTTCGAGCCCCCTCCCACCTTCTGCTGCCTGGGAATGCCGCTGGTTCCGGGGCTTCGGGTCGACCCTTGGCCTCTGGTCATGTGAGCCCAGTAGTCCTTCCCGCCTCGGTGACAGCGTGTACGAAAAGCCGGGGCTCGATATGGACATAGTAGAAATCCTATTATTGAGACCCTGCATATAGAAAAACACGGCAGTTTTTTAACCTGCGTTAGTTAATAAAATCAAGTACCTAATATTGCTATTCTTAATCACAATTACATTGAATTTGGGATTGGGAGGGAAATTATGTCATTGCAGTTGACACCTGTTAAGAAACTCTCAATTTGTGTCCTGAAAAGCCATAATGGAGATATCAATGCCTCCACCTCAGATATATGTAGAAAAAACTCTGGCCGTTATCAAACCAGATATTGTTGACAAAGAGGAGGAGATACGAGATATTATTCTCAGATCTGGATTCACCATTGTTCAGGTAACTTCTGGGCATGATGATTCATGCTTTTTTCCTCTCTGCCCTTTAAAAAAAAATGCTTATGTAAATGTACCTACCCATTTAAACCGTTAATGTTCAGCATTACCTTTAAGTTTATTCTTTTAAGTATAAAAGTTTTATGTGATAGTTTTTAAAAGGATATAAAATGAGAAATAAAATTAACTTTTCCCTCACCTGTCCTCTCCCATTTCAAGTCCCAGGCTCCAGAGAGAGGCAACGCTTAACACTTTCTGTTCTTCCAGGAGTTTTCTATGCATTTATAAACGTTTTCCCCCCATAAAACAGAGCAGCCCTTTTCCCTTGACCCCCTTTACAGAGTCCCTCAGATAGGATTCCAAATCATTACATCTGAATTGATCTCACTCTTCCTAACTTCTGTGTAATATTTCCTTGTGTATTAGAACTACAGTTTATTTACTTGATCCTCTATTGATGGACTTTTAGACTATTAGTATTTTTTCAGTTACAACAAACATTTAATGTTTTAAGCCTTATATTTGTTCTGCAATTAGTAAATATTGTCATTCTAGGGATTTGAAAATGAATATAAATAGCATTGTTAAGGATTATCAAATAAAATTGAATATTTTTAATCTTCTTTTATAGTATTCTAATTTGAATTTCCAATTTTTTATTTTTTCACATTTATGCAGTGTCATATTGCTTATTTAGTTAGTTTTTTTTTGAGACAGAATCTCACTCTGTCACCCAGGCTGGAGTACGGTGGCCTGATCTCGGCTCACTGCAACCTCCACCTCCCGGGTTTTAGCGATTCTCCTGCCTCAGCCTCCTGAGTAGCTAGAATTACAGGCTTGTGCCACCATACCCGGCTGATTTTTGTATTTTTAGTAGACAAAATACTACTTTTGTATTTTGGGGTTTCACAATCTTGGTCAGGATGATATCAAACTCCTGACCTTGTGATCCACCGGCCTCAGCCTCCCAAAGTGCTGGGATTAGAGGCGTGAGCTACCTTGCCCAGCCTTTAGTCAGTATTTTTAAAAATAAAGAGAAAACGGCCAAGCACAGTTGCTCATGCCTATAGTCCCAGCACTTTAGGTGGCAGAGGTGGATGGATCATAAGATCAGGAGTTTAAGACTAGACCAGCCAATATGGTGAAATGCCATCTCTGCTAAAAATACAAAAATTATCTGGGCGTGGTGGCATGTGTCTATAGTCCCAGCTACTCTGGAAGCTGAGGCAAGAGAATCGCTTGAACCCAGGAAGTGGAGGTTGCAGTGAGCTGAGATGGTACCACTGCACCCCAGCCTGGGCAACAGAGGGAGACTCGGTCTCAAAAATAATAATAATAATAGGCCAGGCGCCATGGCTCACACCTGTAATCCCAACACTTTGGGAGGTCGAGGTGGGTGGATCACAAGGTCAAGAGATCTAGACCATCCTGGTCAACATTGTGAAACCCCGTCTCTACTAAAAAACACAAAAAAATTAGCTGGGCCTGGTGGCACGTGCCTGTAATCCCAGCTACTCAGGAGGCTGAGGCAGAAGAATTGCTTAAACCCAGGAGGCAGAGGTTGCCATGAGCCGAGATTGCGCCATTCCACTCCAGCCTGGGTAACAAGAGCGAAACTCCATCTCAAAAATAATAATAATAATAATAATAATAAATGAAATGAATAGAAAATATCAGTATTCAGAAAAGATATGGGATTTCAGTTGAGCTTCAAAGGGCAGGTGGAGGCTGAGGGAAGGGATGGTACGAGAAAGTGTTAGGAAATATTTAATGTAATTAAAGACTCAGGTAAAGAACTTTATAGCAAACGTTAGGAAAACTGGTAGCCACTGAAAAAGTTGGATCAAGTATTGTATACAAGGAAAGACTCCAAATGGACCTGAGATCTAGAAGCCATGAAAGAAAAGACTAGTAAGATTATATAAACAAAAAATTTCTTTACAGCAAAATAAATACCATAAGCAAAGTCAAATCATAACAAACTTTGAAAAAAGATTTGCAACTCATATCAGACAAAGGGCTAGTCCTCCTAATATATAAAGAGCTCCTAGAAAAAGATAAAAATAAATCAGTAGAAAAATGGGCAGAAGAGATGGATGGTCACAGAAAGAGAAAAACATTTTTTAAATATATGGAAAGATTCTCAATTTCTAGGTGGGAAAAAAAAACTACACTGAGATTCCATTTGGCAAAAATATAAAAGTAAATGGCACAATCCCTATCGAAGGGAATCTGGCAGTTATCTACCACTATAACAGATGGACTTACCATTTGATCAGCATTCTGCTCCTGAAAATCTGTCCTATAGAATTCCTTCTGCTCTTACTACCTGTCATGCACAGAGCCCTGTTTAGTCCTGTCAGTAAGTTCCTGTATTAATATGAAGTAATACATATGCAGGTTATTTTTTGCAGCATTGTTTATGTATCAGCAAAAGATTGAAAATAACCCAGATTGGGAGATTGGGAGACAGGACTAAATAAACCCTGGAAACTCCACCATATTGCATAATATACAACTAATTGTGAGAAGAAGAATGAGAAACCTGTTAGTACTGTTATAGAAAAAAGCAAAGTGTGTAGCAAAAAGAACAAAACAGCAAAAAAGCAAAATCGTGTGTACCAACCTTTTGTGTTAGAGACAAAGTAATATATTCCTGTTTGCTAATATTTGCAAAATGAAATTCTGGGATAATAAATAAACATTTAAAAAGGATTGCCTATTGAGGGCAAGGAAGTACTGGGTAGATTAGGACATGGATAGGAATAAGAGTTTTCAGTATATACCTTTATATATTGCTTTGAATTTTTGAATCCTGTAATTATATTACCCATTAACTTTAGAAAAAACAATTAAATGAAGTATACAAATAAAGGCATCCATTTAAGTTTTTAAAAAGTCCATATTAAAAAAAATTTAGTGACAAACTTGATAAGTGGCTAGTGTTAATTATAAATTAAAAATTAGCTGGCGGTGGTGGCTCACGCCTGTAGTTTCAACACTTTGGGAAGCTGAGGTGGGTGGATCACCTGAGTTCAGAAGTTCAAGACCACCCTGGCCAACATGGTAAAACCCCATCTCTACTAAAAATACAAAATTAGGAGGCTGGGTGCAGTGGTTTATGCCTGTAATCCCAGCACTTTGGGAGGCTGAGGTAGGCAGATCACCTGAGCTCAGGAGTTCGAGATCAACCTGATCAACATGGAGAAACCCTGTCTCTAAAATAAATAAATAAATAAAAATACAAAATTAGGGCCAGTTGAGATGGCTTACACCTATAATCCCAGCACTTTGGAAGACTGAGGTGGGCAGATCACCTGAGGTCAGAAGTTCGAGACCAGCCTGGCTAATATGGTGAAACCACAGCTCTACTAAAAACACAGTAATTAGCTGGGCGTGGTGGTGGAAGCCTGTAATCCCAGCTACTCGGGAGAATGAGGCAGCAGAATCACTTGAACCGAGGAGACAGAGGTTGAAGTGAGCCAAGACTGTGCCACTGCACTCCAGCTGGGTGACAGAGCAAGACTCAGTCTCAAAAAAAAAAAAAAAGACTCTGTCTTAAAAAAAGAAAAGGCTGGGCATGGCAGCTCATGCCTGTAATCCCAGCATTTATGGAGGCCGAGGCAGGCAGATCACAAGTCAGGAGATCAAGACCATCCTGGCCAACGTGGTGAAACCCCGTCTCTACTAAAAACACAAAAATTAGCTGCCCATGATGGCACACACCTGTAGTCCCAGCTACTTGGAAGGAGGCTGAGGTAGGAGAATCGCTTGAACCTAGGGGGCAGGAGCGGCGGTGCAGTGGAGGTTGCAGTGAGCCAAGATCGTGCCACTGCATTCTACCCTGGTAACAGCAAGACTCTGTCTCAAAAAAAAAAAAAAAAAAAAAAACACCAACAACAGAAAGCAAAATTAGCTGGGCATGGTGGTGCATGCTTGTAATTCCAGCTACTCAGGAGGCAAGGCTGGAGAATCACTTGAATCCTGAAGGTGGAGGTTTCAGTGAGCTGAGATTGTGCATTGCACTCCAGCCTGGGCAACAAAAGTGAAACTTTGTCTCAAAAAAAAAAATTAGTGTAACTAGCCTGGGCGATGCACTGAGACCAGAAAAAAAAAAAGATTTAATATAGATGACACTTTTCCTAGTTAGTAATTTTCACAACAAAGGCAGCCATGGTATGTCCTTCTGTCCTTCCTTTTTTGCTTTAATTGTGGTAAAATGTATATAACATAAACTTTACCCTTTTAACCATTTTTGAATGTACATTTCTTTCTTTTTTTTTTTTTTTTTTTGAGATGGAGTTTCGCTGTTGTTACCCAGACTGGAATGCAATGGCACGATCTCGGCTCACCGCAACCTCCACCTTCTGGGTTCAAGCAGAACCCTCTTCAGCCTCCCGAGTAGCTCTCCTGCCTCAGCCTCCTGAGTAGCTGGGACTACAGGCATGCACCACCATGCGCAGCTAAGTTTTGTATTTTTAGTCTCTACTAAAAATAGAGACGGGGTTTCACCTTGTTGACCAGGATGGTCTTGATCTCTTGACCTCGTGATCCACCCGGCCTCCCAAAGTGCTGGGATTATAGGCGTGAGCCACCGCGCCCGGCCTGAATGTACATTTCAATTGCATTAAGTACATTCACATTGTACAACCATCGCTACTGTCTATCTCTAGAACCTTTTCATCTTAACACTGTGCCTAATGCTATCTTGTTGCTTCCCTCTTCCCCATCCCGGATAGCCACTATTCTACTTGCTGTCTCTAGGAATTTAACTATTCAAGCTATCTCATTTAAGTGGAATTATACAAGTTTTGTCCTTTGCATTGTATGCTTTTAAAATAGGCTTGTAAGTGCATTAAACTTGAGGCTTTCCTAGCCCACCTAAGGGAAAAGCTGAAAAGTGATACATCGTTTCAGTAGATGGCAGTGTTGGCCTTTGTTACAAACTGAGAGTTCTGTTCTGATAGTACTTGATATGGCTGTTTCTCTGTGTATATTCAACCT